GACGACTGTTAGAATGCTTTTTGGCTTGAAATAGTCGAATAAACATGAAACACAACAGTTGTTCAGTGTACAGTGTACACGTACATACTCATTTTACTTTATAAGTTGATTTTCAACCTGATGCAATACATGCTTCATGACAACATCAAATGCGCACACGATTGATTGATAAAATAAATATTTTACCGCACTTTTAACCAACATTACCGACCTATGATTCACCCAACAGAGGGACGTTAAGTTACTTTACGTCCCTTTGGACAATTAAGTAAAATGACGGCCCGCTATACAAAGTGTAAAAAAATATTGCGCATTTTCATCTCTAAAGACGATAAAGTTGAGTACAACTACTTTTTCGGGAATTTAAAAATTTTACTTAATTAGTAAAGTAAAATTCCCTTAACTTCCCTCTGAAGTAGATGTAAATAATTAAACAATCAAAAATTGCAATATGCTGATTTCAGTAATCCGTAAAAGTTTAAAAATGTTTTTATTCTTGCTGAGGATTAGGAATACAGAAGAAAAACATGTGAAAAACGTCTAAAGAATTATATTTCAACAAAAAGACTGTATTTTCACTTGTAGTGAAAAATATTTTGTCCGTTTTTGAACTGCTAAATTATTCTTCATTTTCACATGTTTAAATTGATAAAAATTTAAAATAGAATGAGAGGAGACATGAACTAATTACTCTTATAAGACTTTAAGCTTCATGTTTGAAGAGCTTGTGGAACTGTCGGAGAAATTCTAAGTATGAATCCTCGCCTAGATTTCCCGGGTCAACTTTTCTAAAACTTGAATAGTTCCAGTAGGATATTCTCAGGGAGAAGGTTTAAGATATCAGATAGGGAGACATCTGCAGGGAGTGAAAGAGATCAGAGTTACAGAGATAAGAGTGTATAGAAAGGGATCAAGAAGTGTAACGGATCAATTAAGTAAGGGATCAGAGAGCGAGGGATCAGAGATTTTTAGATCAAGGAGTTAGGAAACAGATTTTTTCAGGGATTACAAATGAATAATGGATGATGGTGGAAGGGATTGGAGCATAAAGAATCAGTGGAAGGGATGAGAGTGGGATGCATCGATCTAGCCAGCCTACATTTTGTGTCTATAACATGCTACATACTGGACCCATCGGTACGAGTTACTATTACTAAATGTTACTACAATTACGCTAGACAAGTAAATCCTTGTGCCGGTTTTGATCATACAACGATTGGATCGGGGTTGGGAAAAAAAGAGAGTTATGGATTAGGTTGGGACCCGTGGGAGGGATCAGATTGTAAGAAATCAGATCAATAGAAAATAAAACTCTTTGAGTTTTAATGTTATCTTTTTAGTTATATTTTCTCATTCTCCAATGCCAGCACCAAAAGAATATAAAAATACGAAATCGACATTTAACAAATAGTTATTATGGATGTTCAAAGGTTAAAAGGAAAGAAATATGTAGTATATATGAAGGAACTTGTGCCTTACATAAAGTTGAGGTGAAATGCTCTTACGTTTTATTTTTCATGAGATAATAAATATTGATAATATTTTCACTTTTCAAATTATTCCTAGCTTTCCTTTACTTATATTTCATATTTGGGATTTTTTCATAGCTATTTCTTTGAACTCAAGTAAATACATGAATTAGAATTAAACAAATACATAGAATTTTGTGCATCAAGTTTAACATTTAATGAATATTCAGATCAAAGTAGTTGTTTTACCACCTGTATGTATATTGAAAAGACTTTTCAATAAAAAAATCTATCCACTTAATTTAGATTTAGATAATAAATTGAAAACATTTCCGTAGACATGGTTACACTATGTTACTCAATCAAAATTTGAGGCAAATCGGTCAATGGGTTCGTGACAGATAGACAAACCAAGATCACTCATATATTGAGAAGATTTATGTTTAATTTAGGGTTTCCATCGAAATTTTCGTTGAACGAAATTCGCGAAAATGAACGAAATTCATTCATTTTCGTTCAAAATTTTCGCGAATTTCGATGTATTTTCGACCCATTTTCGTTTAATTTTCGTTCGATAAAAATCAAATGTTTCAATTTTCGCGAAAGAGATTGAACGAAAATTTGGAAACCCTAGTTTATTTACATCTTTAAAAAAAACCAATGACAAAAATAACACAATTTCTGTTTTCATAAAGGGTTTACCGAAATTCGAATCAATCCCCATGGAGTCATTTGAGGCTATACAAAAGTGATTGATCGGTTGAGTCTGTTTAAGGCTTTTGGATAAAAAAAAACAGACGACAAGCCGAAAATATAGATACAATACAAATATGAAATCAGACATAAGGGCCAAAACATAACCTTCCTTTCCTATACATCCGAGAATTCAGAACTTTGTTTACAATATTTGTTATTAATAGAAACCAAACTTGACAACCCCTATACAGGGGTCCATATAATTCCATCTGTTCAATCCCAAATGTTGATTGATTGATATTAGGGGCAGAAATAACCAAGGATGTAAGGCAAGGAAATTCATTTCAGAAGTGTACACATCTTTAGTACTGCAGTGTACTGTCTCTGGGCGCTAATGTAAACACAATACGGATGTCGAAGCCTGACATGGGATCCATCATTCACATAAAAAATCAATGAAATATTCTGGTAATAGGAAATTATTATGTGAATTATCAAAATTATCAAAATTTAATGCTTTTAACCTCAATGGATACTAAACGAACACTGATGCATCTATTATTGTTTACAAATTCCGCCCAAAGAGAACTGGTTTCAATATGTACACAGAGTATACATGACCGCAATTGACTTTCCTTGCCTTACATTCTTGGAAATAACCATTGTAAACAATTGGAAGTATAATGTCAAGTTGTAGAAAAAATTCCATACTGCAGAATGTTTACCGCGCGCAAGAGAGTGTTTATTTTTCTGTATATCATAACTTATCTCTTATATTGAATACTAATTTTTACATCTTTTAACACCCAAAATGCAGTACACATTTCTGAAGAGTAGTATATGTACACAAAAACTTGTCAAAGTTCACAATGACATATAAAGTGTACTTTCATGCCCCTAAATGTACTTTCAACCCCGATCCCATTTGGGATTAGAAATGGAATTATACATGGACCCCAGCCCCTATATGGTCATCTCCGTGGATCTAATTCTATTACTAATCCTATTATTTAATGTTTTCAAAGTTTAAAGTATACAAATCTAGGTTTATAATTAATACGAAGAGTGTATAGTCTGTACTATATGCATACAATTACTTTAATTTTGGATTTGCATAAACAGCATGCACTGCAGAAATAGTTTTGGTGAGATTACACACTAAATGTTTGCATACATTTAACATTTAAAGGACATGTTGACATTTAACATTAAAGGACGTGTTGGCGTAATTTAAAGTCCAATTCGCACCGGTACCCTGTATACCTTTAAACCTTTAAACCTTTAAACTATCGGAGATAGCTTCCCTTTTTCTTGCTGGAAATTGAGTGTCTTCGGGAAAACTTGTGGCGTCATTTGAATGAAGTGCATCTGCGTACATGATCAATTTTCTGCAAGGAAAACAGGGATATCTGCCTCATCAATGTTCAATCAATCAAGGTTTAAAGGATACATTGTTGCCAATTTATTATTGAAGGGTAACTTAAAAATACGCTAACAGTCCCTTTAAGTGAAGTTAACTGTTTAAAAGTTTAACCAATATAAAGGGTTCTCCTCCCCCCCCCCCCCTCCTAAACTAAGATGGACCCTAAGTTTCTCTTGGCTTTTTCAATACTGTCAAAAGTGCACTGAGAGGGTTTAAATCTCCCATGGGAGAAGATTTAAACCACAAAGTATTAAATCCCGTCTTACGATTGAGGTCTGTCTATATCTACCGACTTTATTCATTCAAAGGGACTGTACTTGTAATTTTAAGTGACCTTCCGTGCAAAGATGACATGGCCACGATTTACAACAGAACCCTTGAAACCTTCATCTGATCTAAAATGTGGATGATACCGTTGTTGAATTGTGTTCATCGGATCTAAAATGTGGATGATACCGTGGTTGAATTTGTGTTCATCTGATCTAAAATGTTGATGATACCGTTGTTGAATTGTGTTCATCTGATCTAAAATATGGATGATACCGTGGTTGAATTGTGTTCATCTGATCTAAAATATGGATGATACCGTGGTTGAAATGTGTTCATCTGATCTAAAATGTGGATGATACCGTGCTTGAAATGTGTTTATTTCTGTGAGTTTCTCCATTGCTGTTTATAAACAAGGAATTCGCAAGTCTCTTTGGCAGAGAAACCGGAAATGAAAAAAAAAACAGGTTTTAAGAAACAAAAACATTTATATCTAATTCATAAAGTTTTCAAGGGTACCACCGTAAATCGGGCATTGCCATCTGCAGTGCATGAGGCTCACTTAAAATTACGCTTGCAGTCCCTTTAAAATGGCATTCTAAACCACATCAATTTATGAAGTTTAGTCTTCCTGACATGTATAGTATATAGCGACAAAAAAAACATATTTTGAAATGTTTTCTGTTTTGTTCAAATTGAGCTCTCATGTCACAACTGTATGCTTGAAACCTTTGACAAATCAAGGATATTAGAACTATTTTATTTTATTCGCAGAAGTGTTATTACTGTCTAACAATGCAAGCTGCTCAAAAAAAGCAGTATTGGTTTTCCGGAAGTCTCAGAAAAGAAGAAAAATTTTCCTCAGAAAGTAAACACACTATTTTTAGCCATAAAAATTGGATTTGCTAGGATCATCAGCCAAATGTTTAATGTGTAGTATACGGTTGTGAATGGGAAATGCCACAAAATAACTGGAAAATCAACTTATGTCTACAGTCTCTTTAATGAGTAAAATTTGAAGAAAAAAATGGGATGAATATGAAAAAGCTTAGCTGGACGTAAAAAAAGAAAATCTCTTACTCCCTGCTTATTCTGGGAAAGAGAGCCATTTATATTTTTCTACTAAAGTACAATACATAAAGTACCTTGCAATAGCGATTCCGTTTCCAAGATCAAATGCAAACTCCACAAATCCCTGGTTGAGAAATACTGCCACAAAGTCGCCCTTCCCATCGTTTCTGTTTCCATTGTAGAGAATAAGTCCCTGGAGCTGGGAAGGATTGAAGACGATCTCCATTTCTAGCCAAATCAATGCAGCGTCTCCCAATCCAGCGTGACGCAGAAAAGAATCTCCCACAAAACGCGGCATCTGGAAAAATTTAAACGTTCTAAAACACAAAATCTCCATTCCACTAAATCTGCAGATTTAATCCAATGTGGGGAATGCAAATTAAATTAACTGAAAGAGTAATTAGTGACGAGGGATTAATTAAATGTTTCAGACCAGTGAATAAATTAATTATTCAGGCCCAACTTATGATATTATAGAATCATAATTTATTTTGCAACTGATATTAATCCTGCCAACCAACTATATGTAGAAAACTGAACAAACCTAAACATCAGCCAACCTAACTGAGAAACTTTTTGATTGTTTTGCATGCAGTGCCTATTTAACTTTTTCAACTAAAGGAATTGAGTCTTTTCCAAAAATTAAAGTTTTCTCATCCCTATATCTTTGCAAGCTGATGACGCTAACTGTTGATATTTCAAACTTAGTTTATCTAATCCAACGATAAATCTAAATCTAAGTAAAGATTCAAAACCTTTCGGAATAACTTTAGGACTACAATTTCATAATCTGTATGATGTAGAATCAAAGTCGTCTTTATTAAGTAAGTCTTTTTATGATTTTATAATTTGTAACTTTATAACTCTAAAAATGTGCCCAGTCAGCCATAACCGTTAAAAATTATAAAAAACTTCAGTTTTATTTTTGTTAAATTCGAAACCTCAGATTAATTTATTTTAGCTTTAAGCTGGTTAATGACTGCATCACATCAAGGACTTTCAACTAAAGATCTTTAAAGTTTTACGAGTGTAACTTTAAAAGAATCAGATTTTAGTTGCTAACTATTTTTTTTTGATCTACAGGGATGTTGGTCTTCTTTTATCTGATGAAATTAGAAGATAAAACTGTCAGTCCAATATTTTTAGATAACCCTGTAATACCTCCGAACAGCATGAGCTCTGAATTAAGTTTATGTAATATGCACAATTTGCACACTGCAAAGTACCAGTTTTGCATTCCATTGCAAATGCATTTGGTTTAGAGTAGGGCGGGGTCTTAAATATTGCTTTTATTTGTATTGCAAGAAAAAGGAGAGGTGTGGAGTGGAGGGGGGGGGGGGGTTAGAAAGCTTTTGCCTTCACAGCAGGGTCTGCCTTTTTAATCTGAGGTTGGATTAAATGAGGATTTCTCCGGGTGGTCTGGATGATTGGTTCTCAGGATAAAGATTATTCTTAGACTCTGGTCTACTCTCTCTACATACATACAGGGTTACCCACAAAGCATGAGACTTCAGAGACGACTGTACTGAATTTATACTGTCTGTTTCCTTATATTTATGTCAATAGTTCAGGCATAGTCTTAATTTAACCTCGTAATCATCATATTTTAAGAGTTTCAGGTCGTCTTTACAATCTCATCCTTCTTGGGTAACCCTGTAGTTTTTTCAAGGATGAAAATGAATCCTATTTCTAGAAAAGTAATAAAACCAAGTTTGTAATTAATTAAGTAAACACAATTATCATACAGATGTAAGGCAATTAAAGGCTAATAAGCATTAATTAGATAATAATTAGATTTATAAAGATTTCTAATTACCTGGATGTGTTCTTGTCTCTGGCACCTGTCTCCAGAGCTACCCAGAGGACAATCACAACCCTGCCTGCTCTGGTTGGCCGGGTTGGATGAGAAGGGAGAACTCTGATCTCGACAAGTTCCCTGTCCACACATACTGTTGGAGCAACCTGGAGTTTTGCATACTCCTAAACAAGAAACAAAATAGAACTAGATACCAAGTTCACCCTTTATCTTCCAATTACTTTCATTATTCGAATCCTTCAAACTGAAACACGCAAAGAAGGAATTGAGTTTTTGCCAAAAGCTCAAATTATTCAATCTCTAAATCTTTGCAACCTGATGCTTTAGACCTTTTATATTTAAAACTTAGAATATTTGATCTAAAATATGGTTTGAAATATTTGAGATTGTAAAAATTGTAAAAAATTAGGGATTAAAAAATCGGAGTTTAGGGCAAAGACTCAATTCCTTTCATCCGTAACCTAGCCCCCCCCCCCGCCGCCGCCGCCGGCCCGGCCCCACCTTTCTTCACGCTATTCTTCAAAACTAAACCACGGAAAAACCAAAAGTTTTCTGTTCTTTTGTTGACCTGACCTCACGACCCAGGAATGTTAAGTAGTCCAACTTTTCCCTCTACAAACTTTTCATCATTCATCCTGTCCTGGTTATATATCCCCCTTGTGGTTCTGTAAGCGTATACCTCCCACCACCCCCACCCCCCTATCTCCAACCCCCCTGAAGTATTAGACCCCCTTCCCCTCTACTTCCCTAATATTCCAATGTCATCAATAATTTATCATTTTAAAAATTCGATCGTTATTTTTCCGTTCTACTCGTTCTTTAACGAACACAGCGATCCTCAATGTTAAAAAATATTAAAATTTGAAAGATGAAGAAACAATGTTTATAAAATATGAATTTCAACGTAATAAAATCTGTGTTCAATATAGCAATACAATGAGAACTTTTGATTTAAACTTTTTATTTCTACCAAGCTTTCAATCGTATGATACACATAAACATAGAAGCAAAGAGAAGCTGTCAATTAAAAGCTTCTCTTTGTTTACTTGTAAACTTGTTTTAGTTTATACAAATTTATAGTTTATATCTATATTTTATAAATATTTATAGTTTATAAAAATCTATAAAAAAATTGTTAAAACTGAATTAAAACTAAAGTAGAAATGTCGTCTTCATTGTATTGATATATACGCCGATCACTGTATGTGCACAACGTGTTTTTTGTTTAACAAAAAGTGCTTGTCCTAAAAAACGCTCTTCTCTAGATACCTGTATCTATCCCTCCGATGGAGTCTCCTCCGGTAGAAACAGGGTTGAAACTGTAACTTAAATCATTTATCTCCAAGTGTCTCACACAACCCTGCAACCCCTGATCAACTCCGACAAAATTCTTGACATTCCTCATTTCTCCAGACCCACCAATATACACCGGCTGGTTAAATGTTATCCTTGAGAAGAGACCCTGAAAAAAATATTTAAGTTATTTTGATCAAGTTGGAAAATAATGATTTTAGGAGGATTCGTGATTTTGCCACAAACTCAAATTTTCAAATCCTCATACATTTTCAATCTGATCGTTTAACCTTTAATATTTGATCTAACTGGATTCATATTCGGATATATCAAAGGTCTACGACATTTGGTTGCAAAGGGATTACAAAATTTGAGTAAGGAACATTTAAGAATTTAATAATTTTTAGCAAAAGAAGCAAAAGCATCCTGAGAGCCTATGTTCATAAATAATACTAAAATCTGTAGAAAACATGGAGAAACTAACAAGAATGTAGTTTACTCTATACATAAAATTGTCAAACTTTAAATAATCTGAGTTCGAATTTAATGAATTTAAGCCGCGGCTCAAATTCTTTCAATTCGGCCTCTGCAGATAACTTGTGTGTAAATCTTGGTATCAAGTATTAATTTCCATCTTATGCCTCAGCTCTCATATTTGACACTATCACATTTCTTTTACTTTTAAGGTATAGATATTTGAAGGTCTTTTTTTAATGCAACTCTATAGCACCCAAACAAGTAAAGGTTCCAATATTTTAAACTTTCTTGTCTAAAAATTCACAAATATATATAAATTATAAATGATGTTTCACTCCTGGTAATATTTTTATATTTGTATAACGCAAAACTAGATTTGACATGTTCTAATATTTTTTCTAAAAGTCAGATCAATGATTGATTAATGGATTGCATGATAACTATATCCCCCGAGCCAACCAACTCCAACAGTTTTTATCGATTTTATCCTCTAGTTTAAACTGTATTTATCAAGAACTTATCAAGTATTTATTTTTCTTTATTCTTCATTTCTAACTCGTTTCTAAAATTGTTGATTTGTTTGTTTGTTTAGCTCAGAGATTAAAAAAATGTCCCATTTAAAAAATTTTGGAAATTTAATAAACTCACTTCTAAACACGAAAAAAGCGTAAATTAATTCTTTAATGATTTAATAAGATATAAAATGAATAAGAAAGGTGCGAAGAGTCCTATCGAAGTCTATTTCTCCAGACTATAAAATGAGGTATATTTGTGTACCGTCTATTGTTTGGAAACTTGTTCATCTATTTAAAAGAATGAAGTATATTTTTGTAATGTCTATATTTTGGTAACTTGTTCATGAATGTAAAAGAATGAGGTATATTTTTGTAATGTCTATAGTTTGGAATTTTGTTCAGCTATGTAAAAGAATGAGGTATAGTTTTGTACTGTCTATAGTTTGGAATTTTGTTCAGCTATGTAAAAGAATGAGGTATATTTTTGTAATGTCTATGTTTAAAAAATTGTTCAGCTATGAACCTAACCAGTATAGTTCCCTTGAACCTACACAGTATTTGGTTCTCTTGAACCTACCTAGCATTTAGTTCCCTTGAACCTACCCAGTATTTAGTTCTCTTGAACCTACCTAGTATTTGGATCTCTTGAAGCTATTGGTATTTAGTTCCCTTGAACCTACCTAGCATTTAGTTCCCTTGAACCTACCCAGTATTTAGTTCTCTTGAACCTACCTAGTATTTGGATCTCTTGAAGCTATTGGTATTTAGTTCCCTTGAACCTACCTAGCATTTAGTTCCCTTGAACCTACCCAGTATTTAGTTCTCTTGAACCTACCTAGTATTTGGATCTCTTGAAGCTATTGGTATTTAGTTCCCTTGAACCTACCTAGCATTTAGTTCCCTTGAACCTACCCAGTATTTAGTTCTCTTGAACCTACCTAGTATTTGGATCTCTTGAAGCTATTGGTATTTAGTTCCCTTGAACCTAACGAGCTTTTATAGCTCCCTTGAACCTACCCAGTATTTAGTTCCCTTGAACCTACCCAGTATATAGTTCCCTTGAACCTACCTATTATTTAGTTCACTTGAACCCACAGTATTTGGTTCTCTTGAACCTACCCAGTTCTCTTAAACCTATCCAGTATTTAGTTGGCCCTTGAATCTATCCAGTATTAAGTTCCGTTGAACCTACCTGGGATCTTCCCTCCTCTCGTTTTCCTCCATTAAGCTGAACCCAGACTCCCCAGTCGTGCCGGAACACGCTTACGTGGTTCCACGCGTTCAGGTGAACTTGAGAGCTCGTCTTCACTACACCAGGTCCAGTTCCACAATCCAACCTGGAGATATCACATGAAACATCATGTACTTTACCAACTGACCACTTCTCAAACGACCAATTTTATAAATGACAATTTCTAAAAAATATGAAAATATATACAATATGCAAAATATACAGAAGGACCATTTCCAAAGTGGAATTTCCAAAATATGTAATTTTCAAAGAAGCGATATCTTTCTTATAAGTTCTAGCCATAGCGCTCCGGCTGCAAGCGTATCCTTGCCGGACACTCCTTAGAACATGTCTAAATCCAGTCTAACCTGACAACTGAAGAAACTTTTCCTCTTTCAGTCTAAATTGATATTTGGGTCAAATTCATTTGGGAAATGAAGATCTTGTTTTTCCAATCCGTCCTTACTCCTGATATCGAGTTTATAAAACCTACCTGAGTTCAATATATCCGTCCTTCAAGACCAGAGCTAAATAATCTCCGGTCATATCCTCAGTTTCCCCAGTTAGCAACAGTAATCCTGATTAGAAAAATTAGATATCTTAAACCTTTAACTTGATTTAATGGATGAGAAAAATTGAAAAGATTCCAAGAATCTATTTTGCTTTGTATAGTTGCACCATTCATGTTCACTACTACAATGGGTGTCAAACGGACAGCAAAGTATACAACATTTTAATGGTTTAAAAGTTCCAACAAAAGTAAAGCTATATTTCTTTTTATAGATAAAGTACAATAAACCTGTCCATGCTGTAGGTTTAAATTCCAGTGATAGATGGAGATCACTGTAAGCGTTCTGTAGGGTTGGGAAGGAGATGAATCCTGTTCCTGATAACTCAGGAATAGAAATATCAATGTGCTCAGCACACTGGGCTCCACCCCAACCAGCAGGACAAATACACCTAGATATCAAGTAGTTTTAAGGAAAAAGCTTTATATATATATATATATAATTACCTAGATATCAAGTAGTTTCTAGGACAACGTTGTATATACACCTAGATATCATGTAGTTTCAAGGATACAACTGTATATATATACACCCAGATATCATGTAGTTTTAAGGAAAAAGCTGTATGTATATACGCCTAGATATCATGTAGTTTTAAGGAAAAAGCTTTATATATATATATAATTACCTAGGTATCATGTAGTTTCAAGGATACAGCTGTAAATATACACCTAGATATCATGTAGTTTCAAGCAAACTGCTGTAAATATACACCTAGATATCATGCAGTTTCAAGGATACAGCTTTATATATGCACCTATTTAGATATCAAGTAGTTTCAAGCATACAACTGTATATATATATACACCTATAGATATCATGTAGTTTCAAGCATATAGCTGTATATATATACACCTAGATATCATGTAATTTTTAAGAATAAAGCTGTATATATAAACCTAGATTTCATGTAGTTTCAAGGATACAGCTGTATATATATAAACCTAGATTTCATGTAGTTTCAAGGATACAGCTGTATATATATATATGTATATACCTAGATTTCATGTAGTTTCAAGGATACAGCTGTATATATATACACCTAGATTTCATGTAGTTTTAAGGATACAGCTGTATATATATATAACCTAGATTTCATGTAGTTTCAAGGATACAGCTGTATATATATATATGTATATACCTAGATTTCATGTAGTTTCAAGGATACAGCTGTATATATGTATATACCTAGATTTCATGTAGTTTCAAGGATACAGCTGTATATATGTATATACATAGATTTCATGTAGTTTCAAGGATACAGATGTATATATATATACATAGATTTCATGTAGTTTCAAGGATACAGATGTATATATATACACTTTAGTTTTAAGGATACAGCTGTATATATGTATATACCTAGATTTCAAGTAGTTTATAAGGAAACAGCTGTATATATGTTTATACCTAGATTTCAAGTAGTTTCAAGGATACAGCTGTAAATATACACCTAGATATCAAGTAGTTTCAAGGATACAGCTGTATACATGTATATACATAGATTTCAAGTAGTTTTAAGGATACAGCTGTATATATGTATATACATAGATATCATGTAATTTCAAGGATACAGCTGTATATATGCATACATGTTCCTAGATACCTAGATTTCATGTAGTTTCAATAAGAAAACAATAAGTTAACAATTTCATAATATTTCTTTCTAAAGTCAGGAAATTCCTTTTTCCATTATTTCAATTAAACTCAATTTAATAATATTTATTAAAATCGTCCTCGTTTATTTTATTGGCTTTTTCTACTTTTCTTTTCTGGAATTACAAGTTTAACGAGATTAAAGTTTACACTGGAAAAAGTGTATTGTAAATTAACATTTTACAGTCTATTAAAGAGCACTTAAACCATAGTATAAAATGGTGAAATGTAAAAAATGAAAGATTAATTATGCAAAAATGCATTAATGTTGTGTATGGTTATTATATGCATGAGATGATAATAAAATAATAAAAACAGACCCAGACTAGTAATAAATCTGTACTATGCACAATGCATGTAGTAAACACCTTACTTACTCCATTACAAATTCTCGAAACGTATCTATCAAGGTTCAACCAGTCCGCTATCAAAGTCAACCAGGACACAAGTTACAACCCACCAGGCTATAATTGCCACACAGGGACACAAGCTTAGCTATCTAATAAGCTATCAAATCAGTGTTCTAAATGTCCCACAAGGACCCAAGCCTAGCTATCAACCAGCTATATTTATATCGATTCCAAATGATGGGGACGATCCGACCTGGCTATATCAACACAAGGTTCCAGTGCTATGCCACACAGGGACACAAGCCTAGCTATGCAACAAACTATATATTGATCCCAAATGATGGGGACGGTCTGACCTGGCTATATCAACACAGGGTCTCAGTGCTATGCCACACAGAGACACAAGGCTAGCTATACAACAAGCTATATATATTGATCCCAAAAGATGGGGACGATCACTATCTCGCAGTAATCAGTAAGGAGTTACTCTTAAGAACTAACTTTATTTAGATATCTTATATTACAAGTTTACGTGAATTGACGTAAACAAAATTCCTACGTCGTCTATATCACATGACTACGAGTTCTACGACCATCATATTGCGTATTTACTGCACAGTTAAAGTTTAATGTACGTATTTATAAGATTAGCGAGGACAGATATAACGTGGTTAAGCTATCTCCACACATGTATACAGCGTAATTTAAGTTGAATGTAAGTATTCAAAGGATTAATATGGATAGATATAATCGTAGTTAATCTAATCCCAATGCATGCTTTAATCATATTACGTAGCTCATATTTAATCTACTAGGTATGCTACGATTTTTGCTTAATGCACACATATCTCCAAAAAAGTTACTGAATATTTTATCTATACCTGGATATCCACTCTGTACCAATACCTTGATATCCACTCTGCATCCATACCTGGATATCCGTTCTGCATCCATACCTGGATATCCACTCTGTAACAATACCTTGATATCCACTATGCATCCATACCTGGATATCCACTCTGCATCCAAACCTGGATATCCACTCTGCATCAATACCTGGATATCCAATCTGCATCCATACCTGGATATACACTCTGCATCCATACCTGGATATCCACTCTGTATCAATACCTGGATATCCACTCTGTATCTATACCTGGCTATTCACTCTGTATCTACACCTGGATGTCCACTCTATATATATATATATACCTGGATATCCACTCTGTATCCACTCTCTCTGTATGGCATGTTCCAGTTCCACAGTTTAATCCACAGAATGCAGGAACAGTGTAAATATTGTCCTGAAATATTTAAATATAAAGAATCCAAGGTTTACCAAGTATTGCATGAGACTCAAACAGTTAAATCCGCGGAATTTTTAAATGTATTTTTTGAAATAAATGTGTTCTAGCTGACAGCTGAGGATTCGTATACTTAAAGGAATTGTTTCCAATTTATTCAAATACAACAAGAGATCCATGAAGGACATCCTTTTAAAATCAAAAGACACAAAGAACTCAAAATTTAATTATTTTTAATATATTTTTTTCTTCTTCAAAATAAATCACTTGGTTTAATGTTCTGAGCTGAAAACTTTAGAATGGGATATCCTTAATCCCGATTGGTTAATTAATCTGAGTTGAAAACTTTAGAATGTGATATCCTTAATCCCGATCTGTTAATTAATCTGGAGATTAAATTCATGAGGAAAACAAGCAATATTTAATCTGGAGATTAAGAAAAAGAGTGGATCAAGCATTAATCCCTATATCCACCATTCTAAAGTTTCCAGCTCTGGAGAAAGAGGACAACGCGTTATTTAATCTCGAGATTGAGAAGAAGAGTGGATTAAGCATTAATTCCGATATCCATTATTCAAAAGTTCTCAGCTCTGATGAGATTACAGAAACATCCGATCGCATGAACAGAAATTTCCAGACACAGCTGGGGCCCCAATTTTAGATATGTATATTATAGTTGATAAACGGTGTATTCTAACCTTCAGGAAAGCTGAGTCTACTAGATAAGGTTCAGCCACAGCAGGAAGAGCTCTGGGTGGGTCGAGATACTCTACAGGTGCTTGTGACTCATCCCTTAAAATACATTAACAATTAATTGAACGCTTAACTGTCTTTAATAGATTTTTTAATGAGGTTTTGGAATTTTTTCTTCTTCTCTTCTTTTCGAACAATTACAGACTGGGAATATAGTCTACCTAGGAGGGGGTTTACCTCAATATTAATCAACATTTTTATCAAAGAGAAAAGAGTCCTGGCCATGATTATCTTTCACGATTTTAAAAATGAAAAATGAAAATCAATGAAAACACGGATATTTACGATAAGAAATGAATATTTGATATTAGACCCTAGAACCCTACCTTGAACCCTACATTGAACTCTACCTTTAACCCTACCTTGAAGCCTACCTTTAATCCTATATTGAACTCTACCTTTAACCCACCTTTAACCCTACCTTGAACCCTACCTTTAATCCTACCTTGAACCCTATCTTGAACCCTATCTTGAACCCATCCTTGAATCCATCTTTGAATCCATCCTTGAACCCATATATCCTTGAACCAATCTTTGAACCCAGCCTTAAACCCATCCTTAACCCCTATCTTGAACCCTACCTTGAACCCATCCTTGAATCCATCTTTGAATCCATCCTTGAACCCATATATCCTTGAACCAATCCTTGAACCCAGCCTTAAACCCATCCTTGAACCCATCCTTGAATCCATCCTTGAACCCATTCTTGAACCCATCCTTGAACCCTACCTTGAACCCTACCTTGAACCCATCCTAGAATCCATCATTGAACCCATCCTTGAACCCATATATCCTTGAACCAATCCTTGAACCCATCCTTGAATCCATCCTTGAACCATACCTTGAACCCATTCTTGAATCCATACTTGAACCCATCTTTGAACTCATCCTTGAACCTTACCTTGAATAGTGTGGAGGAGCAAAGTTTTCTCCGTCCTGCTTCTTTATCTGGGTCTCTTCATTAGCTACAGTATAGGACACCTAGATACAGAACAGTTTATCAAGAGTTATTACATTTTATTGTACACAGAATGAGTTAAACTAATTGCGACAGAGTAAAATTTATTCATCCTCCCCAAGTTCAAACTTCCTTCTTCTGAAAGTTAAATTAACAAGTTACTAGTAAAATTATTGCTTCAATGTCGTCTTCCTATTCCCAAGTTTTCTGTCTTTAATTGAAGTAAGAGAAAAAAGGAGCAACATCACACAAGGTTTCTTAAATATCGTCTTACTTTTCCAAAGTTGTCTGGCTCCCAGTGTATACCTGAATATCTGCTGGTGCTAGAAGCTCCGTACCGGCAGGTTGGCCGCTAGGCTGCCGGGCAGCCTGGTGGGCAGGCTGACCGGCCCTGTAATGGACGTGATGGGTCGGAAGGCCGAGTTTATGTAGTTGTTCCTCACTAAGATCTTGATCCTGATGAAGTGGAGGTTCTATATCTACTTCTATCTGTATTGCTATACTCGGCTCACGACTCTCAGTAACCCCGGTCTCGTTGAAGGCTGAAAAAATAGTAAGTTATAATCTAAAATTAAAGTGTTGTTTTCCACAATGACAAATCTGATAAAAATGTGGAAGAAACCGTCGTTTTTTTGTGGAAGAACCCGCAAATAAACAGAATGAAGAAAAAAACAAAAGATCTAATTGTGAACGAGCATATTACCACAAGTTTTGTTTATTTTGTTAACTTTATATCCATATTGTGTTACATAATATATCTTAATAAAAAGGAAAAAGAATTTGTATTTGTTAGTTTGTCTCGCATGGAATTTTGATAAACTCAACAAGCTTAAAAAATTGTCCTAATTCCATCTGAATCTGAAATAATTTTTGAATAAAGTTCTTAAACTTTTTGCAGAAAATGAATCGAGTTTTCTAAAGAAATACAAAATAATCTTTTTTTATTTTGATATTTTTCAAGTTCAATTAGTAGCTGCCACAACTTAAACTTCTATGGATAAAAAAGGTTTGTAGCCACTTTCAAAGTTTAAGAGATTTTTGGATGAAAATTTCAAAAACTTTCTGACAGGCAGTATAAGTAGGAAAAATAAAATTTCTTTTCTTTAAATTATTCCAAGTTTCAGGAAGAAAAGAACGGATCAGCAACATGACGTATAAGTTTAGGAATCTTCCAACAAAGAGTGTTTCTCTGTAAAGGATCTTACCTAGCTCCCCCCCCCCTCCCCATCCCCGGTCCAACCCTCCCTCTCCCCTCCATTCCTCTACTAACTCTTTCCATTCTCCTTGCATGCATTAAAGACAAGAAAGTTTGAATATGCATAGTGTCTAAAATCTCCATCAAATATTCGTATATGCAATTCTTCAAATAAAAAGGTTTTATATTCATCAATAGCTAGGGGATCTTCAGGGATTAAGTGGAATCAAAAAAAAATTTTCTCACATGTAAAAATTCTTCAAAGTTTAATCAAAATTGGACCTCAAAAATTCAAACAAAAAATGAGCGGTTTAAATCTTTAAAATCTTGAACAACCAAAAAGTCCTCAAAACCGAAAAAGTCCATGGTCAAGTTTTCAAACTTTCTATTTCTATTGCGTCAGCCAGAAAACAACTTTCCCATGGTGACTAATTTCCAAGACCCCTTTATAAAGTTTTCTTCACACAAATCCTGTCAATCCTGTAGGATGAAAATGTCGTTAAAATATTGAATCCAAACACAAAGTATTTATGATTAATTTTTTTATTAGAAGCAAGAATTTTATATTTATATTTTTAGTTGACAGAATAATACATTCACAAATAAATTTGAAACAGTGAGAACCAGAAAACTATTTATTAGGAAGACGACCTTGATGCAATGCTTCTGTGTATTTGATTGTTTACAGGCAATGAGTTGCAAAAGCAAGTTGTTATCAAATACAATTGATCTGTTTACAATGTTTTAATTGTCTCATGTTCATTAGACTACTTTTAAAGTCACGACTTGGATCTTAAAGTCGTCTTCCTATTCCAGAAATTCATGGTTCACTCTGTACATTCATCCCGTCTCTGTAGGAGGTGGGTGTACATTGTACAATGTACACCATAAACCCCTCTTTTCCCTTTATCTAAGGAAAGAAAGAACCTATCTAGGGTTCAAACTCCTTTATATTCATCCTCATCAGCCTTCTCTGCAAAGACGGCTACCACAATTAAGAACATTCATTAGTAAAACGATCGATTGATTATTTGAGACAAGTTAAATGCAGTATTGCAGCTTTACCAAATACATATATATATATATATATATATATATTTCACTATAAAGTTCATCTATATAGTGCATCTATATTGATATAAGGTTTGCAAGTGTGTTCCCTCAAATATGACTCACTTCCGATCATTCATTTATATATGTACTCTTAATTGTCTTTCATTTTAAAAATCTTTCAAAATCTTCCAAATTCCAAGAGGAAACCTGAAGCTGACGTAAGTGCATTTTTAGCTAGCTTTAGTTACTACTTAGTTACTGTAGAGATAAAAGTATTTTTTGAGTAGTATATCAGTCTCTCAAAACGGGGCAAATAATAAAAAACCATTTCTAATTCTGGCGAATTTATTAGATTTCAATGTATTTAGTCTATAATCCTACCTATACAGTTGTATCCGTTAGTATTAAGATAGAATCCCTCTGTACAATCACATTCGTACATGTTGTCATGAAGATTAAAACATGTTTGTTCACAGGGGTTCATCTCCTCACACCGACCTATAAATAAACAAGGATTTACAAGGATTACCAGAAAACTCTGGAATATGTAGAAGACTTACAAAATAGTCCAATGAGCAATTGTGCAGTATACACAGACCCATTTCACTGAATAATTGATTTAATCAGTTATTGGTAAAACTTCTTGCTTCGTGCAGCAGCATAAAATACCCTTGATTATTACTTTAATGTCGTCTTCCTATTCCACAGTTTTCTTCTTCTCACTGTGTACACAATTTTAGAAAATATTAAAATTAGAAAATGACGTCAATATTAAAATCAAATCAAATCTAGGAGAAAAACTGAAGGGACTTTTTGGAATTTTCCCAATCTTATTTTCTACTAACGAAAGTATCCAGCGTTGCCCTTGCCCATCAAGCTTACTTATTTTTTAAATAAAAAAATTGTCGCATTGTAAAAAACTACTTCCTACGCTGAAACAATTAATTTTAGATATTGTGTCACCCTAGGGGGTAAATATTACATTTCTTATTATTGTTACATCTCTCTCAATGTTACAGTTTGGCGTGTAATATGGGTAACAAATATTTGAAGAACTTTTTCTCTTAACTTTTTCAAAACATTCCCTTGAATTCCTATTTTTTTGCAGATGAATGAGAAGAATAGAGGAGAAAATTGAAAAGAAATCTGAAAAGTATAAGTTCTGAATGTGAAAAAGAGAGTGGGGGGGAGGGACGGAAATTAAACATATTTTCCAGGTTTTTGTAAAATAAAACTAAAAATTTAAGAAAAGAGATAAAATACAAGATAAAGCGAAAGATATAAGAAGAAAATACCCTAAAAAGATAAAAATGCAACGAAAAGAAAAGAAAATAAAGAACATATATTAATAAAGCTTTATTAAAGGAAGAAAAAAAAAGAAATGGTCATCTTTCGAAGGGAATGAGGAGGAAAAGAGAAAAAGAAATAATACGTAGATAGAGAGAGAGAAAGAAAGCAAAACTAAAAATTGATAAAATATCAAAATACTATGCTTGGGAACCGACCTTTGTCTGGAAAACAACGTTTACACTATAAAAGACAACTCACTAAACTTAAGAGAAAGATATTACTATTTATATATATATATATAGATAAATAAAAAAGAAAATATGAGAAAATGGGTGGAAAAGAGAAACAATATTTTCCAGAGAAAGAAAGAAGAAAGTAGAATTATTTATGTCAGCAATGAAAAAATCCATTAAGAAAAGAAAATTCTAGAAGTGAGAAAAGTTCCGCCATTTGTGCAATCTAATCGTTTCCTATCCAACCTTCACTGTTTTTATAAACATAATCTGCACACACCTTAGTTCCGCAATACTACATGCACCTCTGCAAATATGTTTACAAATTCAAAACATTCATTGTTTACACTTAGGAATTTATATTGAACTTAAATAAATTAGTTGTGTTCATTAATTTTTCCTTTTCTTTTGTTCATTTCTTTATCTTGACCCCTTCCCATGAGTCTTGAAAACTAGCAAAGGATCAATAACTGTATGAATTAGTAAAGATATTAGAAAACTTCTAATGTAGAGACGGATAAAGATATAACTTTACACAAAAACTTTTAAAAGAAAAGGCTGAATATGTTCACAACATTGAAAGTCATAAATGATCTTGAACGAACATATAAATTTCGGATTTATGAGATTTTAGATTTTCAGAATTTATTTGTTGTTAAATGCATGAATCCGTTTTTGCTTATTTTTTGCCATTTTTTTTCATCCTAAGTATAATAACGTGAAGTAACGTAACGTAAATTAAATGTTAACAGAGTCCGAATTTTATGAATTTGAGCCGCGTCTTAAATCCGCCAAAAACCGGCTTCAATTTAGCGCTGGCTTAAATCTTGAGACATTGAATACAACTTAAAGTGGAACCAACCAAATATAAGCCGGGTCTCAAATTTAAGCCGCGATTCTTTAAATTTAGCCTCATGGGATGAATGATAGAAAACATGACAGTAACACTAGAATTTCAAAATGAAAGATTAAGTAATTTTTTCATTAAAATACTCAAAAAAATATATCAGATTCAATATTGCACCCTGTACATCACTGTATCTGTGCAACATACAATGAGGGAGATATCGTCGTTTTTCCATCTTAAAAATTTTGAATTCTGTCATTTACGTTACAATTGTATTATGAATGGAGGTGAGCTTTTGCCACAAACTCTGATTTTCTAATCCCTATATCTTTGCAATCCGATGTCGTATGAACTTTTAATATCTAAAACTACAATTTTTGTTGGATCAAATAGACTAAGTTTGAAATATTAAAGATTAAAACCTTCAGGTTGCAAAGATATAGGAAATAGACAATTTGAGTTCGTTCCTCATCTATTAATACTGTTGCACCTTTGTATTATTGTATCTATTCTTTTTCTATAGATATGTATGGGTTTCTTAATAAATATATGTATACCTCTTTTTTAAAAGACTTAGTTGAATAGACTAGTTGAATAGACAAATATCGATTTCGAACACTATAAAGTTCTATACAAGGTCTGTATAAGGGTATATACATATAATTAAGCATGAAAATTAATATTTACCTTGGAAAGCAGCCTCTAGTGGTGCAGGCACAGTACTCGCGGGTAGTGAAAGTAAATAAACAAACAAAAACCAGTTTGTTCCAACAAATATTTCCCGCATTTTCCTCATCTTGTTCATTTTCTTTCTCAGGTTTTAACTCGACATTTTTTTCACTTTGGTTTCTTAACACACATCTCCGGAAATATATATATCACAAGAACTGGTTTGGATCAGGTTCAAGATGGGGTTGGAAATGTATTATGTATTGAAACCTGGATGGAATTCACGGATAGAAGAGATTAACTTGTATCAAGTTCATGAAACTAGAATCGATTTAAGTCTGGATAAGGTTCACGTGTATCTAGTAGTGTACGGAGTGTAGTAAAACGAACCCGAAATATTTAAGTTGATACTATATACCGATAACCATATAACCTTTCTCACTCTGGATATTGTTTAGTGTAGATATGATGATGATATGAGTTGTATGAGTCCAGTGATATATATTGAGGACCCGGAGTACTGGGATCTGATATGTTGAATAGGATAGAGTATACTGGAGTAAAGAGTCCACAATACCTTCAACCTCCGAGGTTTCTAGTTATACATAGATATCCAATCCTCATTCAGAACTTACCTCTCAGCAAAACCTCATTCCATTTTTACCCCTTATTTAACCATCATGCAATCCTTAACCCTCATTTATCCCTTATTCTAAACATTCCTTTTTTATTCATTTTTCATTTACTATTCCTTCCTTATTTAATTCTTTTCGATTCTCGATTCTTCTTATATCTAATCGTTCCTCTCTTATTGAACTCTTATCCATCCTTTACTTTTCTTTTTATTCTTCTTTCCCGATTCCTCATTCCTCATTACTTCAGATTAATGTATCATCTGTATTCTATCTGTAACAGGGATTAAACATGTTTTTTCTTGAAATTTATAATTGTATAAGCGTAACTTCAAGCGACTCTCCATGCTAAGATGACAATGCTCGATTTACAAAGGTATCCTGAAAAGCTTTGTCTGATCAACTGTGAATTAGATATCAATGTTTATAATTTTGAATGCTGATTATTTTCACTTGTTGTTTCTCGGCAACAGTGAATTGCGCATTTCTACTTCAGGAAAATAAATTGGAATTATCAAACCTGAACAACGACAATATGTTCTTTGGTTCCATATTATTGATTAGATAAAGGTTTTAAGGGTACCGTAGTGAATCGGAAATTGCTCTCTTTGAATCGGACATTGGCATCATTTGAAATTACGCTTACAGTCCCTTTATCGTGGATGCATTTACCCTGTCTATACTTAATGCATAAATGTTATAGATATTATGCTGTATGCAATGTATTATATCCTTTGCTATAAATTAATGCGTATTACCATATATATTAAATATTGTTATAATGTTGATGATATTCGAGATTAAAGAAATATTCGCTAAAACAGCTTTATTCAACTTTTCGAAATTGATTAAATCTGAGACCTTGAATGAATAACGAAAAGAAGTTAAAATATGTAGATTTAAACTTAATAAATCGGAGCAGGAGAGAGATGTTTCATACTATAGTTGCAGTAGAAGTAAATATTTCCATTTACTATTACAGCGCCGATTGAAGAATTTATAACTCTGATTGGATAATGAGATAGATAGAAAGATAGATGTTACCGCCATCTATTTCTATTGATTCAGAATAGACAACAAACACATGACTGAAACCTGATTGGATCAGGTGCTAATGGACTCGGCATACTACTCACTAATTATTAATGGATTCTTTGCCACAAAATCAAATTTTCTACCCCCTATTTCTGTGCAATCTGATGGTTTTCACCCTTGATATTGCAAACCTATTTGATCTAATAGAATTCATAGTTTGGGTTAATTGCAGAGTTTATAACAAAGAATGAATTTCTATGGTCCCTCTTTATGTAAAGTTCTCAAGTCTCAAGACATTTTATTATTTCGTATTTGATTATGATCCATCCTTAACAAAATAAACTTTATTTTACTTTAGTCTAATACTTGAAGACTTTTTTATAACTATAATGTGAGGCTGCTAGTCTCAACCTTATTATTTTTACCCTGAATACTTGGCTTACACTTTCTTTCTTTACATTCAATCCTTTTTTAGATTTACTTTTACCCTTATTCTGATCATTTTTGGAGTTATTGCTTAGAGACAAGGATATTTCAAACTTTGAGAATTCGATTACAAATTGTTTACTACACATAAGGTGGCAAAGTAATTTTTGTAAAATTTGGAGTTTGCGGCGATTAATCAGTTCCGTTGATGATAATTGATAATATTTTATTTGTTTTTTTATGTATTTTGTTTTGCATTTATGCAATTTACAGTGAAGCGGCTACAGTGCAGTGATTGGGCCAGATTTGTTCCTCCCAAAAAGATATGTTTAGAAAGGTTTGGAAGTTGATCATTTTTATGTTTAGATTATATATTAGTTAATTCCTCGTGATGTGTCTAGAGCAAATTTTTTTCTTTTTCTGTTTGTTCAGCAAAATGTGTTTCCATTCAAGTTCTGTGGCTTCAGCAGAATTTTATTCTTTTTAATGGAAGATCAGCAAAGTGAAAACATTAGTTACAGTACTTGTGACGGAAGTTTAATCATTTTCTCAGAAATCCTAGCTTTATATAATCCCTTTATATAATCCCATTATCCTTGCAACCTGTTAGTGTAAACCTTTAATATCAAAAGTAAAGGAATTAGAAAGGTCCAAAAAGGCTGGATTCAAAAGGTGCTAAAAAATATATTTTCTATTTCGCCAATATGATTTTTTATAGCATCTGAAACTCATTCTCTCTCGATGGTAAATATTTAGAATAATTTAATTTTTAATATTTTTGCTGAAAATTTATTAAAAAACAATTTTAGAATGACTTCTTTTTACAAGTAAAGAAAATCATACGGTATGTTTAATTTACTTTGTTTGAAAATCCTATTCTTATAAGAAAAAGATTAAAAATTTTTCTAATTATAAACTATAGATGTTCAGAATTTTTACGAATATGCAGAGTTAAGTAAATCTTAAACTAGCAAAGGTTTCATTTGTCTGATTTTAACATTTTTTGGATCATCTCTATTCTTTACTACACTCCTCTTGAACCCCCCTGCCCCAATTGTACCCCTTTAACTTCTTGCCCCTTGCACCCCTTGAACTTCTTGCCCCTTGTACCCCTTGAACTTCTTGCCCCTTGTAACCCTTGAACTTCATGCCCCTTGAACCCCTTGAACTTCTTGCCCCTTGCACCCCTTGAACTTNGAAACTCTGTTAATATTCTGCCTGACTAAGTATTTGTGAAACTCTGTTAATATTCTGCCTGACTAAGTATTTATGAAACTCTGTTAATATTCTGCCTGACTAAGTATTTGTGAAACTCTGTTAATATTCTGCCTGACTAAGTATTTATGAAACTCTGTTAATATTCTGCCTGACTAAGTATTTGTGAAACTCTGTTAATATTCTGCCTGACTAAGTTCTAAAATAAAGTTCAAACTTTTATAATTTTCCCAGCTTTTGATCATAGAATACCTATTAATCATATGCATCTAACATTTCAAATCATATTCAGCGAGATTCAGGGGGAAATATTCGTCCTGTCTTTTTACATCAAAAACGTAATTTAAATGAAACATGTATTAGGTACAGTTAGAGAGAATAATGTGTTATAAATACAAGCTTTGCAGACAAGGACACGATTTTATTAATAGCGAGTAGTAGCTGACTTACGTATGACCGGTAAAAAATAAATACAGCAAGCGGAGATCAAAATGCGGGGCGCGGAGACAGGATAGCAGTGGCTCGAAAATGTTTTAAGAGGCACGGAGATGGGTTTTGCTGGGCAATTGTTGGTCATTCCGCGTAACAAGAGGCTCCGGAGGATATTTTACGGGGCTCGGGCAGCTCTGCACCCCCTTTCATTAAAAACCAATACATGTTCAAAAGAAAAAAACATTATTTTCTTACTTTTACTTTTATAAACTATGCCCCATAACTAAGAGGCATATGAAATTCACAACGGTACCCTCAAATCTTTGTACAAGCGTGCAGAATGATAAAGCTATCTTAGTTTTCCTAACTAAATATTTGTATTTTTTTCTGTAAAAGTGGCTTGCTTTTTTATTTAATAAGAGATGAAAAAGAAAGTTAAGAGAAGTAAACACTTTCCTAGATAGTAAAAGAAGATTTATTCTTGTCTTGTTGTTCAGAAACAGATGTAAATAGTACCGCAATTAACTCTTTTATTGGTGGATCGTGGATCACTTATAATTATGTTTACAGTCCTTTTAAACTACTCTCCCTAACCTCCTTCCTGAGGATGAGGTGTGTACCAAACCAAATATATTCAGATGTATACCAAACAGGGGCGTATTCAGGAATTTGTCCAGGGGGGGCTTAATTTTTTTCTTTTTTTCCAGGGGGGCTCAGCACCCGTTGGAGCCTGAAAAGCCCCTGAAATCCATAGATTTTGGTCCAGGGGGGGCTTAGCCCCAGTAGCCCCTCTGAATACGCCTCTGATACCAAACCAAACCAAATATATTCTTAATATATACCAAACCAAATATATTCATGATGTATACCAAACCAAGTCAAATATATTCTGATGTAAGAATGCTAAATCAGAGAGAAATCCAGACAAATCCAAATTGATTAGTTGATTTTATTAGTTGGTCTGTAGATCATTATATTGTTAAGAAACTAGGCCGAACAAACAAACACTCTATAATCTATAATCAATATTCTACAACTGGAAATATATATATTCTCCTGGATTCTCCTGGATTCTCCTGGATTCTCCTGCATTCTCCTCTGGATTCTCCTGGATTCTCCTGGATTCTCCTGGATTGGATTCTCCTGGATTCTCCTGGATTCTCCTGCATTCTCCTGGATTCTCCTGGATTCTCCTGGATTCTCCTGGATTCTCCTGGCAATTTAAATGTCTGAATTTCAGTCTATCAAGACTGACGTGTGTAGAGCAGGTAGATTTTGAACTTCCTAAAACTGGTTCAAACTGTCAAAATGTACTTAATCCTTATTGTTTTTTGTTAAGATAAGCAGAAATATTTGAATTTCTAAAATGGAACCGGATAGATATTTGATAATCAAAATTGGAGGAGATACTTGGTGTAAATGTAATGTCTCGCAAATTGAACCTTACCCTAACCAATTTCTTGTCATTATGAATAGCAAAAAGCATGGATTAATTATCATAAATGAGTTCACAGAGAGAATTTTGTAATGCAAAGCGCAGAATTCTGCATTTATATTTTGTGCTGTATAACTGTTTAAATTGTTTTCAATGATTGTTATTATTCTAGAATTCAATAGTTTTATTGAATTTATATTGGATTTTCTTCTGTACTGCAGCTTTTATGTGTAATTTTTGAAACCTTATCTAAAATTCTAGAAATGCACACTGTCCAGAGATTGAACAAATGTTTGTCCAAATGATGATAAACACGACTGTACGGAATTAATACTGTTCGTTTTCTTTTATTCATGGTTACGTTTGTAAACTTGTTTCTTCTTTGGCAAATCAGTAAAGAGCCATTGGAATACTATATTAAAGGTAGAAGACTTAATTTTCCCTAATATCGGAATTTTTAAAGTTTCAAGTCGTCTTTACAGTCCACAATAATTTGACTAGAAGCTAGGGAGATGATTCATTTGGCTTACTATCCCGATTTGCCCTCCGCTTAGGCTGAATGTAATATGTATATTGTACAACTTGACTGGAGGTCGAATTTAAAACTTAAAATCTTATTCGTTGTTTCAAGATTTAAGCAGGCGCTCCATTGAAACCGATTTTTTGGCAGATTTAAGACGCAGCTCAAATTCATTAAATTCGGACACAGAGTTTTCATTTAGTCTTATCCTTTGTGGGTAACTCTGTATATGTCTTATATATATATTGCTAATTAAAAATAAAAATAAATCGATTTTTGAAAAAAAATTGAATTATTTTAAGCCTATGTTACCACCAGGATACCCCTGGGTTCCCTCAAAAACTGTCAGGCCATTTGGTCAAGCCATTTGGCTGGCTATACGGAACATACATACGAATGTCTTGTTTTATTATACAGATAATCTTTAATCTGCACAAAATCTTAATGTATATTTACACTGTATAATAATCCTTGTATGTATACTATTCTATCTTATATATTACTTACTTATGTTTATGTATATGTTTATGTATATTTGTAATAAATATCCAGTAAAACAATATTCTGTAAACCTGAAGTATGTTGTACATTATTAACTATCTATGTTTGTAAACTTCTACGTAAAACCCATTATTCATTTGAACTGCGCTTCAAATGAATACGTAGTATGATTAGCTTAATCATGTGATATAGGTAACGACGAAGGAATTGTAATTACGTCTATTAACTTTAACTTGTAACATATAAACCTTAAAATATATTAGTTGATATAGAGACTCTAATGCCGAGAGAGTAATTTAGTTCTTGTTGAAACATACAAGCTTGGATCGTGCCAATTGGTTTGGTATTGATAGAAATCGAGCTAGTGTCTGGTTGACATCGATACCTCATGAGGTCGTGCCCATTGGATTGGCATTAATAAATTAATAGCTAGTGTCCTTGTTGACATCGATAGCTGACAAGATTGGGCCCATTGGTTTGGCGTTAATAGAATACGAGCTAGTGTCCATTTGACATGGATAGTTCATGAGATCATGTCCAGTGGTTAGAAATTGTTCGATTAATAGTTAGTGTCCTTGTTGACATGGATAGCTCATGAGATTGCGCTTAGTGTTTGGTATTGATAGGTTACAAGATTGTAGCTAAGTGAAACTGAATTTTACCTGGATAGATATGAGTTCGAGAGCAGTTTATGGAGTAGGGTATTTACTACATTTGTATAAATTAGAAATAAATGATGGAGACCACTTTTTCAGCATGTATATATATATGTTGTAATAGTATAATTCTTTTTTAATAGTTTAAAATAATATTATAAATTCTTTTTTAATAGTATAAAATAATATTATAAATTCTTTTTTAATAGTTTAAAATAATAGTAGTATTCTTTTTTATAAAATGTGAAGTTTAAAAACTGAAATATATATATATATATGTATATATTTATGTATTTATATGTATAGAGATTAATATGCTGAAACAGCAATATTGATAGATATAATAGATGCATACAATCAATTGTTTCCCGCCCAGGGATGTATATATTGTCTGAGCTTTTAGAAAATACATATCTATATTAAACATATTTTATCACTTATTTGAAAAATCAGTGATGAGTCTTATCAAACCAAGTTGGTTAATGAAATATTTACCCGTATCATTCCCCGCTTGGAATATAACAACAATTTATGCTTTCAACAACAAAACATATTAAGGGTCAAAAAGTCCTGAATCGGGTTTGTAAAAATATTTAATAATTCAGTATTTGTTTTGTTTTTGCAGATATTTAGGAGGGTGGAGGAGAAGAGGGAGAAATAGAAAGGTTAAGAACAGAGGGAGGGGGGATTTGAAAGGTTGAAGAAAGAACAAGAGAAGGGCAGAGGGGGGGGGGGGGGTTTCAAGGTTTAATATATTTTATTTATCCCTAATACAAACCGTCTTAATAATAAATGATCTAATGTTGTTATCTTCTCTTTATCGAGTATTAGAACCATTAGAACCATACATCTTCCTCTCTTACACCCTTACCACCCTACACCTCAATCCTATCCTCCCCTCACTTCACCTCCCCTCACTTCCACTCCCCTCAGCTCCCCTCCCCTTACCTCTCCTCCCCTCACCTCCTCTACCCTCTCCATACATCTATCCTACCCTCCCCGTACATCTTCCTCCCCTGCATCCTTACCAACCTACACGTCAATCCTACCTTCCATGTAGTTGGTTTAAAGGGTACCCTTATTAATAAGGTATTTCCATCTTAGCATGAGGGTTTACTTGAAATTATGCTTACAGTCCCTTTAAGTCGCCTATTCAAATCTGTAGTGTATACAGCATGGTAAAATCTCTTCTCTGTTTGTCTAATGACACTCTGAATAGTTTATTATAGTGAATGTATTGTGTATGATTCATACAGAATAAATTAATAATAAAATCTCGGCAGTGTGCTAAACAATTCTTCCTGGGAACTAGAACAAATACCAGATACAGAACAAGAATCAAGTTCATAGATAAAATCAAAACCAGAGCTAGAATCAGAACAAGAACTAGAATCAGAACCAGAACTAGAATCAAACCAGAGCTAGAATCAGAACCAGAACTAGAATCAGAGCCAGAACTAGAATCAAAACCAGACCTAGAACCAGATCAAGAACTAGAACCAGATCAAGAACTAGAACCAGATCAAGAACTAGAACCAGATCAAGAACTAGAACCATATCAAGAACTAGAATCAGATCAAGAACTAGAACCAGATCAAGAACTAACACCATATCAAAAACTAGAACCAGATCAAGAGCTAGAACCAGATCAAGAACTAGAACAAGATCAAAAACTAGAACTAGATCAAGAACTAGAATCTGATCAAGAACTAACACCATATCAAGAATTAGAACCAGATCAAGAGCTAGAACCAGATCAAGAACTAGAACAAGATCAAGAATCAGAATCAGATAAAGAACTAGAACCAGATCAAGAACTATAGAACCAGATAAAGAACTAAAACCAGATCAAGAACTAGAAACAGATCAAGAAATAGAACCAGATCAAGAACTAGAACCAGATAAAGCACTAGAACCAGATCAAGAAGTAGAACCAGATCAAGAACCAGAATCAGATAAAGAACTAGAACCAGATCAAGAACTAGAACCAGATCAAGAACTAAATCCAGATCAAGAACTAGAAACAGATCAAGAAATAGAACCAGATCACGAACTAGAAACAGATTAAGAACTAGAACCAGATCAAGAACCAGAACCAGTTCAAGAATCAGAATCTGAATCAGAGTCATAGTTTCAAACAAGATCTTCACTTCTAGTTTTATTGTTCTAGTTTTTCACTAGATCAGCCTATTTCTTAGCGTAGAACTAGTTCTGAACTAGAACTTGACAACAGTACTAGTTCTGTACTAGAACTTGACAACAGTACTAGTTCTGTACTAGAACTTGACCAGCCTGATTTGCGACATCATCCATTTGTTCCAGAAATTTGTCCACAGTCTGTAATCTAAAAAAGTTATAGAATGTGATATCGAATTTTGTAAAGAAATTTAAAAATCTAAGTAAAGGAATTCCATCATTAAAATTAAATTTTGTAATCCCTACATCTGTGAAACCTAAAGGTGTAATTCTTTGATAATTTAAACAAAAATTTTTGATTTAACAGAATTGATTGTTTGAAATATGAAAGGTCTGAATTAAGACTTTAAGTTGGAAAGATAAAGAGATTAGAAAATTTGAATTCGGGGCGAGGGTTCAGTTCATTTGTTTCTTTCCACAGTTTCTTTCTTTTCGGATAAGATATTCAAATCTCCCAAAATTACCTGGCATGTTCTATTGACCCAACTGGTTCCCAGGCGAGAATAATTGCGGATTCTGTTAAAAGATGGCGCTCATTACAAAGTTTTCTTACAAAAACAGGTTTTAGAATCTTTCCTGATTCTAATGATTTCCGGAGCAGAAAGAGCCTAAAAAAGAAAATATAATGTTAATAAATGTTTGAAAGAGCTGTATCATCATATTTAATTGCCTGTTATGGATTTATTTGCTTTTACTGGAAAATTTATAATATTCTTATTTAAGGGTATATACAGTGGTAGGCCAAAGTATCAATACAATGAAGACGACTTTCTATTTCAATTTTGATTTAAATCAAGTTGTTAAACAGCATGAATACACTGAAACATAGAAGTCAAGAGAAGCTATCATTAAAAAAGCTTTTCTTTGATTACTTGTAAACTTGTTATTCGAAAAAAGCATGTTGAAAATCAAAACTTAAATAAAAAAGTCGTCTTCATTGTATTGATATAATCGCTTACCACTTTACTATATATTTGCTGGTAAATTACAAGTTACAAAACAGGATAGTTATTTACAAGTTACAAAACAGGATAGTTATTTACAAGTTACAAAACAGGATAGTTATTTACAATTTACAAAACAGGATAGTTATTTACAATTTACAAAACAGGATAGTTATTTACAATTTACAAAACAGGATAGTTATTTACAATTTACAAAACAGGATAGTTATTTACAATTTACAAAACAGGATAGTTATTTACAATTTACAAAACAGGATAGTTATTTACAATTTACAAAACAGGATAGTTATTTACAATTTACAAAACAGGATAGTTATTTACAATTTACAAAACAGGATAGTTATNATAAAATTGTATATATTTATAAAATTGTATATATTTATAAAATTGTATGGTTTAAGATTTTCTGGAAAAGGATTGTTATGAAAAAATACCTAAACATGCCGGGGATTAGTTTATTCATGGTTTCCAGAATACTTTCACAGATTTTCTCCTTTCTCTCCGCCTCTACCTCTAGCAGCTCACTAGAACATGCCAATTTTAAGGTAGTCTTTATGGGTCCATGTGACGCAGATTTAACAACAATTTGACCATTTAAACATAAATGTTTCACTTTTGCACTTTTATAATTTTTTTGAGAGCGGATTCGTTTTAAATGAAAAATTATTCAAAGTTTAAAGATTGTTTTAGAATTTATATACAATGCATATTTCTAGGTCAAAACGCGTTAGGTTAAATTAGAATAGAATTCAAATTGAAGAACCCGAACGCATCTCGCCCTGGTTTGTCCTGGGTGCAGTCCATGGCGCGGAACGTCTTGGACTAACTAGGGTCGTAAGTGTCATATAATTTAACAATCTTTAAAATTGTTGAGTTGTCTTTTATACTTGACCACTTAAAATGCACCCACCGACAAAAATAAGGAACAGAAAAAAGAAAAAAAAGAAAAAATAAGTTTTATGGGTCCAATTCTAATCGAAAGTCATAGCTTAGTGTGCAGGAAATTGCACAAAATTATACGGAAAGACTGCTTTTGTTACACTGCGTAGAATTGCGCTATAATTGTGTGCACAATTTCACAAAATTGCTCCAATCAGAAAAATTCGAAAATTTAATATATTTAATACATTGAACATTTAGTTCCTCACACCGGTTAACACTACAATGGCATCAATGGTAAAGGTAAGAAAAATTTTCCAAAAAATTGAAAAATAAAATGTAAATACTTTTTTTATTCGTGGTTTTATCGGTGACAACAAATTTTACGTGCTTTATGCACAAAGTAAAAACCAAGTTTGCAGTTGTTAATTTAAAGCGGAGCTTGTCTTAAACGTATCATTTAGAACAATGAATTTCAGTTTTCCAGTTTAACTTGTCGTTTCCCTTCTTTTTATGGTAAAAATGTTGAAAACTGGATCGTCAGGTTTAACATAATTATTTTTACTTAACTCTGCTTTCTGCTCGGTCAGAAAGAACAACTTGGAGTTTAAAGATATTTTTATAAAAAATTATTATTTTTATTTCTCTAGTCCTAAAGGAAATGAGTCTTGGCCACAAAATCTGATATTGTAATCCCTATATCTTTTAAACCCAATGTCGTAGACCTTAGATATTTCAAACTATATAAATCATGTAAGATCAAATATTTTTTGTTTGAAATATCAAAAGTTTACATCAGGTTACAAAGATGTAGGGATTCGAAAATTTGAGCTTGTGGCAAAAACTCAATTCCTTTACAACGCATTAAATTGAAATTCAGTCAAAAACTAGAATCAGCATTGTAGAAGCTTTGCAGAACTTTATAGTTTTATTGAAAACCTAGCGTGGGAACAAAGCTTTATAAAAGTCAACCTACTGGTTTCTTGAATCAAATATAATTATACCAAAACATCTGTACTGATCAAGTCCATTTTTTTTGTGGGACCTCAAATGACCCTAGGGGTGTATTTTTTATCAGTTCAAAATCCACAAATCTTACCTTTAAAGGTAGTGTTCGCGAAAAATGAAAGGGGGTATAGGTTTACGGCGATGAATAATCGCTTCTGATCCCTTCTAATCTTACTTCTGTCTGTTGCGTCTATAAGAAGAAAATTTTTAAAAACGTCTCATACCGAAGAACAAAGCGTCCATACAAATTGAGGAATCTTGGATCGTAAAAAAATCAAATTAATATCAAACAAATAATTTAGATACTAAATCCTATAGTCATCGATTATTTTTCGACGCATTTGTATATACTAGATATTTCATAATTTTTTTTTATTTTGTGTTTCTTAAAATTATTATTTCGCTTACAACTTGTTTTCACGACTGGCGCATTCCCGGAAAATATGGAAAATGTTGTCTTCATTATCAAATCCTCGAAACAGGAATGAATGTTTTCAAAAGTAACTCTAGGATCAGAAAAAGTAACAAAAAATATTATGAAATATCAACTATATACGAATGCGTCGAAAAATAATCGATGACTATAGGTTGTAATATCTGAATGCTTTGTTTGGAATTAAATTGATTTTCTTACGATCCGAGTTGTATGTTGCAACTTTCTCAATTTGTAAGGAATTTAAGGAAATTCGATAAAATGTTTTTAACAATTTTCTCATTATAGACGCAACGGATAGAAGTAAGGTTAGTAACGATGAAAAGCGATTATTTATCGCCGTAAGCCTATACCCAATTTAATTTTTTTGCGAACACTCCCTTTAAACACTTAGTAAAATGTTTCAAACAGAGACAATCTGCAATATTTTGCTATGATCTATAAAAAATGTTTGTAAAAATAAAATTATAACTTTAATTAGACACAAAGGGCCGCGAAGCCTAGAATTTCTATAATTATTTCTATTTCTTATCATATTTTTACCTTTGTTTAGCTCCGTAGAGGGGGATTAGGTTAAACATGATATCAATACACATATTATGATTAGGATGGTAGAGGATGGAAATATCTCTCAGCAGCTCTTCCTGAAAATAAATAATAAAAAACAAAACAAACTAAAAATAATAAAATGAAAAAATTCCTGGAAAATATTAAAGCAAAAAGTGTGTGGAAAATATTATTATAGTTTTCTCTGTATAAAAAGTATAAAACTTTCTTTGTTTTACCCGAATACCGGGAACCATGTTTATCAATAGAACAATCTACTATTCAGGAAGACCAAGAATAAAAAGTAAAAATAAAAGTTATTTTTCTTCCATGGTTTTAGATATTCGAAAATATAATTTTTTAAATATTTGTTTTGTAAGAAAATAATTTAGTATAATATTAAATAAGCCGGAAAGAGGATGGAAGAGGATTACATATGTTTAACCCGTTTCAGAAAAAAAATCAAGAGAACTCATTCAAAGAGAAAAAATTTAAGAATGATAAACTGAATCACAAATCAAAAACAAAAAATAAAATAATAGATAGGGACAGGAGAAAAAAGTAATAAGAAAAATAAATAAATAAAACAAAATGAAAAATGTGAAAAAAGAAGAAAATCTAATGGTAAAGAAGAAATAAAGAAATTGTAATAATACCACTAAAACAATATTTAAAGCACAAAGAAAAGCAAAAATAAGAAGATATTGTCCTTTTAATCTGAAAACGGGATTGATTATGATAATTTTCTTCATTCTCTTTGTGTCATGACACCATAATTGTAAATAATAAATTTGCATCTAGAAAAAATGTGATATCTCACGTCATATATTCTTGATAAAGGGTTAAAGGGTATATGCCACTTAATAAATGGAGCGTATAGGTTTAAATTACGTGTACAGTCCAAATAAGTATAAAACAATGTATAAAAACCTGTGTTGTAATATCTCTCAAACTATTTTCTATTTTCTCCTCCCAAAACTCCTGTTCAGATTCAATCTCTTTTCTTTCTTTCTCAAATCCACATTTCCCGCATCTTAATATGATTACAGGGTTAGCAACAAAATAGTGAGACTGGTAATATTTATAGATCTGATAAAAAGTGCTATGGACCTCTGCAATTTATATGTTTGTTGTAAACCTCTCATGACCGTCTTTCCATCTTAACCTTATCTCAATTAGAATATTAAAATCACGCGGAGTTGCCATCAAATGTTAGAAGAAGCTTGAAAGTTTTAATTTAAATAGTTTGTGTATATCAAGGTTATGNTGAATACCTGAAGGGAGAGGTTGTATTGAGAGGGTTGGAGTTTAGCATGAACCCGTCTCTTGAATACCTGAAGGGAGAGGTTGTATTGAGAGGGTTGGAGTTTAGCATGAACCCGTCTCTTGAATACCTGAAGGGAGAGGTTGTATTGAGAGGGTTGGAGTTTAGCATGAACCCGTCTCTTGAATACCTGAAGGGAGAGGTTGTATTGAGAGGGTTGGAGTTTAGCATGAATCCGTCGCAAGGATTTCTACGACACTTGATACTACTGAAATCACTCCCTGAAAAAAAGTTTACATATATAGAACCCCTCTAACGAAGTTACGTTCTACTTTTAAAACTTTTCTCCTAAAAAATTTCTTGTACACTGTACGGTGAGGACAAAAAACTCTAAACAGGAAGACGACTTTTAGACTCCAGTTTTGACTTTTAATAGTCCAATACACATTAGACACCGATATTGTGCAGTGTAAACAGATTATTTCACTTAATAAGTGATTTAATAAGTCACTAGTAAAACTATTTGCTTTGTAACAACATCAAATACACTTTAGTGTTGTTTTAATGGTACACTGAACGTTATGTCTGAGCAAGTATGAATTATATATCATTGTTTATAAATTTTAAATTCTGAAAATTTTCAATCTACTGCAGGAAAACATATAGGAATTATGGGCATTAAACACTTTTAAACCTAGAACAAAGACATTAATGATCAGATAAAGGTTCAAGGGTTTCAAGGCCATTTTTGCATAGAGGGTCCCTAGAAATTAAGCTTACAGTCCCTTTAAAAGTTGATATTGACCTAGTTCGGACGGATCGGAGCATCTAGGACAAGAACAGAGAAAATATTTGCTCTTCAGCAAGTGTTTTTGTCTGAAGTTGAGATATCAATTTTTTCATACTTTCTTTTTCCTAAATAACAATTGAAGAAAAGCGGTCAAGGGGTTCCTGAGTTATGATCAGAAAACAACTACATGACTTTTAATGAGGGGTAGGGAGGGGCAAATCTGGTAAAAAAAATTATTTTTTGGTTTAAGGTTTCTACAGTTCCTTTTATAACTTTATTATCGTTAGTGATATTCTAATCATAACTATTTCTTCAATATTCTAAAATTAAAATTTTTTTAAAATTGATGATTCCTGTATATGGTATTTGATAGTGTGGAGGTGTAGGTATCACATATCTCTTCACCCTTCTAGAAAAAATATATTTTTCAGAATCAAAAACTAGATTATTCTTATCTCTTTTCAAAAATACTGCTGGAAAATTGCTAATCATTGCTTATGATCTTACCCCTTTCCCACCCCACACCTACTTTTTGAATTATCTGATTTACAATTTTTTTTTCACTAAAATCAAAATTTACAAATTATCTGACTCAGTCTTACCTTAATATCTTGCACAGCTCTGGGTGATTTCAAATATTAGATTTTTGTTTTAAATGTGCAAAATAAAAATAAAAGGATTTTTAAAGATCTATTGAACAACAAATTATCCACTAGGATTAGATAAAAAACATTCTTTCTTTCAAAAATAACAAAAACAGGATAAATATGTATGTATACATTTATTGAGTTTAAAATAGTTCACAGTTTTTTCAACAGGCAAATAGAGTGGAGGGATGATAACTTTTCTTTAAATTATTAAATCCAGTGTTTATCGACCGCCCCCCACCACCTCCGATGGTTTAAGTTGAATATACAAAAAAAGCCGATAAAGAAATCGACAAAATATCTTTAAATGGTGGTGAAAAGATTTATCTAGAAACGTTAAAATGTAAAAAATTATTTTGAGACCAAAAAATTATTTAGGACGTAAATTTAATATACTAGCTAGGGCACCATGCGCTACCCAGTTTACTAAAAGTTACTCTCGACGTTTACCCGCACTCCAATTAGAATCTCAAAACCAAGCTAAGAACATTCCCGTGGGTCTCCCGAGTTCCCTAATCAAAATTTGAGGCAAATCAATCCAGGGGTTCCTGAGTTATGATTGGACAAACAAACAGACAAATATATATATATGGATATTTGACCTCCCTAACTCTGCAGGTGAAATTGTTATCTATAGAGTTCTGTGTGTTCGGTGAACAGCTGGAGTTCATCATTGCAGTTAGTGGATACAATCCTCGTAGACTTATACCATCAACACCTTGGATATCCATATATTCAACTTCTAGTAGTTAGTGGATACAATCCTCGTAGACTTATACCATCAACACCTTGGATATCCATATATTCAACTTCTAGTAGTTAGTGGATACAATCCTCGTAGACTTACACCATCAACACCTTGGATATCCATATATTCAACCTCTAGTAGTTATTGGATACAATCCTCGTAGACTTATACCATCAACACCTTGGATACCCATATATTCAACTTCTAGTACCTAAGATATCCATATCTATATCAATATTTTTCTAAATATTAAACTGAAGGTCAATCTCTAAATATTGAACTGAAGGTCAATATCTCTCTATATATTGAACTGTAGGTTAATACCTCTCTAAATATTGGACTGAAGGTCAATATCTCTCTAAATATTGAACTGACCCCCCCTTAAGATGAAAAAATTCAGTTGTCCTTGTCAGGTTCGATCACAAAGTAGAAAAGTTTTTTAAAGTTTGTTGAATTAAATACCTCTAATCTCAAAAGCATTAACATCCAGAACATCAGAACTGCGAAGGATATCATCTCCACTGAAAAGAATATGGAAATAATGAATTTTTCCAAATGCTAAATGGAAAAATTAAGATAAGAAGAAAATGTTGATCCGCTCTACTGCCCTCCGTCCTATTGCCCATCCGCTATACTGTACATCCGACCTATGACAGCTGTTTATTTTTGTATTATTTGAGGGTTAGGTTAGGTTTAGAGAACTTCTGGGCCGAGCACTGCGGTTAGGACGTGCTATGGGCTGAGCGCCGCGGCTAGGACAGGCTAGGGCTAGGGCCAGAAGTCCATCTAGCAGCTGTAAAACCACGTGCTAGTAGGTCGGATGGCCAGTAGGACGGATATGGGCGTAGGTCCAGAGATACACCATCCTACTTGAAACTATGGAACAGAAAGATGACATTTAAGCAACCTTATGAGTATTTGATGTTTTGCATTAAAAGCCTGTAGATTCAGTGATCCCAACAAAATTTACTTATAGAGTAAATGAGGTTGTTTACACAATGCACAATTACTGTGTTGCATGGCCAATAGCCATTGAACTAATTTAAATCATCTTGTTTGTAACAGTCATCTTCTAATCTATCTATCTATCTATCTATCTATGAAGGCTGTTGTGTCCATTAGGTCTATTCTGGCCAAAATGGAGGCCATTTTCAGTACCTGCTTCACAAGCACAAAATTGCCATGAGCGGCGATAATTAAGTATAAAAGAAAATGATATGATCTATGTAACACTTTAATAAAACTACTTTTGGGAATTTAAGTTTATTTATGTATATTATAGACAAATAGAAATTGCCATTTCAGCAGAAAGATCCTGTATAGATATATCTGTCTATTTATCTAACCTGATATTATCTATCTGGTCCTGTAGTTTAGTATATTCAAGTAGACTGTAAATATATATCTGTCTATTTATCTAACCTGATATTATCTATCTGCTCCTGTAGTTTAGTATATTCAAGTAGACTGTAAATATATATATCTATTTATCTAACCTGATATTATCTATCTGCTCCTGTAGTTTAGTATATTTAAGTAGAAAAGAAACTACATTATGTTGATTATGTAAACTATTCTCCTCCAGTTCTCTAGCTGACCTGGAGATATTCTCATCAAACAAACAAATCAAAACTCCAAGAAAAATCTAAGGAGTAAATTTTTAAAGTAAAAGAAACTGAACAAATCCACAAACTCTAATATTAAAATTCCTATATCATTGCAACCCGATGGTATAAAAACTTTATAATTTAAACTTTTAGACCAAACTAAATTCATAGTTTTAAATATAAGAGGTCTATGACATCAGATTGCAAATATTTAGGAATTATAAAAGTAAAAGTGTTTCAGGTTGGAACATTGATACAACCTGGAGGATTTTTAAGAGATTGTAAGCTCTCATGCAAACCGTTTGAACACTTCAAGTCAATCTAGACGTGATGAAACTTATCAAAGCAGTCTGGATACGAAAAAATCTGATTGAGAAACTACCTGCAGTGTAATGGGACCGACATGACTATGAAGTGTTGCCAGTCCATTGTCTGACCTTTCCGACCCTTGTTACTATTTCTCAGCCCTGTTATTGAGATTTTTAGGATGAAACGCGATTGCACTTCTTTACTTTTGAAAGAAAAATTGGCAAAATCCTGTTCGTTTTTGTGTCGGAATATGACTTAGTTCTCCATGGATGGTGTCAAGGTACTAATGCAAGGAAAGTTAATTGCGGTTGTGTATACTCCGCGTACATATTGAAACCAGTTCTCTCTGGGCGGAATTTGTAAACAAAAATAGATGCATCAGTGTTCTTCTAGTATCCGAGCAAGAACAAAGCATTTCATTTTGATAATTTTGATAATTCACGTAATAGTAAACCAGAATATTTCATAAATTATTTTTGTGAAAATGGATTCCATGTCAGGCTGTGACATCCGTCTTGTGTTTACTTTTCCTGCAGTACAAAAAATGCGTACACTTCTGAAATAACTGTCCTTGCATCAGTACCTTGGATGGTGTGAAGTCTCGTAAAAAAATGTAAAAACACAAAGGTTTGATGAGAATCCTGTGAGTTTCCATTTTCTTGACAACTTCCCAGTTGTGAGGTCTGTAAACCATAGACAAACAAACCCTAAACAAATATTATTTCATGTTTAAGAGTTGGAACAGACCAGAAGAAAAATCGCAATTAAAGGGATTCACAATGGTACCATTTAAAGCTTTGTCTGGTCAAGATTCAATTTTATATCCAAGTTTTTGTTTCTCCGTAGAAGTGACTTGTTTACATTTCTAGCTTCAGAAACAATAGAGCAAGTTTACTCTGTTTGTATACTGCAATTTTCTTGTTTTACTAAGTACAACCGTATCAGTCAAAACATAAGCAAACAAATTGTAAACATAGCAGACTAAATTCTTACAGATTACAGCTTTTTCAGTAGGTATCACTATACTAAACCAAAGAATTATTTAAAAAGACGATATCGAATTCGTTACTGAATTCCCATGTTTATTGGGACACCCTGTATTTGAACTGCAGATTCAAATCATTCTTAATCATCAGATTAGAATCAAAATAACAAAAAATCGTTTAAGAATAATAGATACAGGTTTTAAGGGAGAACAAAGATAGAAATCTATTACCAGTTGGATACCAATCCAGATTTTGGCCCGGGACTGGTTTGCTTAACCTAATTGAACTTACAAGCTACTGGATTAAGACACGCTTCAAGTTAAAAATAAATAAAACTTTCTATCTAAAATTATTGGAATGTTCCTTTATTCAAGTAAAATGTTACCTTAGGGGTGTAATACATTCATACATTGGATGTTCTTCTATTTTCTCTTCTTCTTCCCTCTTCTCCCCTCGTCTTCTACACCACTTTTTTAATATCACATATGAATATATCAAAATATATTTGAAAACTTTACAATATTAAAACTTGGAAAGATTGCATATCGTAACAATTTTGCAAACGTAGCAAATATAAAAAGAGAGGAGTGATCATAACTCTACAGCTGTATATCTTTATAAGTATGTACTTTATTTTTAGTAATTCAATTCCAGGAAACCCAAACAGAATTGATTCAGGAAAACTATTTTTCAGGAAGTAATATTTTGTTCAAACATCAAAAATTAGTCTTTTACTGGCCAAAAATTATCCGGTATAGATAAAGTAAACTTTTAAAAAAATTTAAAGCTGAGACTTCTAGTGAAACTTATTGATCACAACCTCGTATGATATGTAATTTGCGTGTCCTGGTATCTGTTTATTTGCATGTTTGTATCCAATAAACGTCAAAACGGCTGAACCGATCGGCCCAAATTTTGTGTGGGACCTCACATGTTCATAGTGAAGGTTTTGGATTATCAAAATTTCAAAAACTAGCCTCCAAAAAATTTGATTTTCAATAAATTTTGAAAATCCACGATTTTTTTTTATAAAATCCGCGAACTTTATTTGATTTTTTTTAATTTATACAAAGAGAAGATGTTCAAAATTGAAATAGAAGAAATAGGGAAATTTGGAGAGTTGTATTTCTCTAAATTTTTAATTTTCAAATCACCTGAATGTTAACAATTTTATCGTTTTTATAAAGAATGATTTATAGCAAAATATAGCAAAACTAGTCTTAGAGGGCGCTTCGCGCCCATCTTCTAAATTTATTGTGAACATGTTCTCTTTGTGTACATCGTAAAACAAAACAAAAATAATTCGCGGATTTTCACAAAAAAATTCGTGGATTTTCAAAATTTTCAAAAATTTATTGAAGATTGAATTTTGATGGAGACAAATATTTGAAATTTTGATCATTCACAAACCTTCCCTGTGGTCACGTGATGTCCCACACAAAATTTGGGCCCGATCGGTTCAGCCGTTTTGACGTTTATTAGACACAAACAAACAGACAAACAAACAGACAGACAAGCCAAATTTATATATAGATACAGCAAAATTCAACAATCATCAAAGTGCGGAGAAAATTTTCTTTTCTTTAATAATTTTGGTAAACTCTAGAAGTAGAGGAGGAGTGTTGAAAAAGTGTTCTATTAAATAATCTCCCTGAGCGAGGTTGGTTTTACTCCAGCAGATGAGAAGATCTTACACTCTGCCCTGGGTATACAATTCTACTGGAGAAACAAAGTTGAAAAGTTAGGACGTAAAGTTACTTGATTTATAGATCACATTTACACACACAAACTCTCAACATGAAAATATATTTTAAAACAGGAAGATAAACAAGAAACACTATTAACAAAGTTTTTTCTTAAAGGAACATAAAGTTTAATTTCAAATGACCCTCCATGCAAAAATGGCAATGCCCGACTCACAACGATACCCTTGAAACCATTATATATATATATAAATTCTATATATTTTACTGCAGTAGAAATGCGCAAATCACTTTTCTAAAGAAACTAAAATTGAAAGTTATACTTTTTCAATATTTAAACATGGATATATATTATATAATTCATACTTGATCAGAGAAAGCTCACGCCAGTCTAAAAGTGCATGATCCGAGCCGGTACAACACGTACTCTATGTACAATCCGTCGTACTGTCTAGTCAGGCTACCCAGTGTAGACTTTAGAGTTGACCCAGCACGTTTTATGCAACAGCCTGGCAAGATCAGAGTACTAGCTTTTACGGGTACCGTTGTAAATCGGGCATTGCCTTGCCATCTTGGTATGGAGTGTAACTTAAAATTAGTAAATAAAAGAAAAACTTTTTGTTATATATTCATTGTTTTGTTTCTAAAATTCGTCAGCTTTAAACTTATATTTGCGCAGAAAATTAGAAGAAAATCGTCTTTTTACATTTGACAGAAGACAAATGAAGAATTGTATTCCTATGCAGTGACGAATATTCACATTTTTGGCTGCACATAGGCCAGGAACATGAGGAACATCTAAACAATAAAATTATTTTTGAATGTTAAGAGAATAATATATATATTAGAGTGGAATTTACAAGAAAATAGTCTAAAACGGCCATTTTGTTGTACATGTTTTTTATTCACCTAATTCATTTTATAAAGTTTATTTAACAGCTTTAAAAAATTCGAAATTGAAATGGATAGTCTAGGGAACATACTGTATTGATGTACTCTACTGCATATAATTTGTGAACATTTACATTATTCACTTTGAACTTCCTTTCAGGCTGAAAGGGACTGACAAAATTCATACCGAGGGATTGTCTAAATTCCACTCTAATATATATTCTATTCTCTTTGACAGCTGCACTGTGTCTAACAAACAACAAACAGGAGCCATTCGATACCAATAACACGATCTATAATCGCTGAATATATTATACATGCATTAGCACATTTTGATACTTTTAGCTAGAATTATAAAAAAGTTGTAAATGTAGGTTTGAGTGGAATATATTATTCAACCGTTCTCCAAACTTTCCGATCTCTCTAGCCGGAGTCCGAGTACCCATGGTTACCAAAAAAAAAATCATCCAATTTGGTCCTGCTGATTGACCAGTTTATCCGCATATAATAAACTAGCTGAAGGGCCCGGCGTTGTCCGTGAAATTTTTTTAAAAATAAAATTTTGGAGAAAAAAAATGTTGAATTTTTTTAGCCTATTACACCCCCCGGCCACCCCATGAGTTTCCACAACAAATGTCAGCCCATTCTGTAAAGCCGTTTGGCCGGCTATACGCAACATTTATTTTAATGTCTTGTTTTATTATATAGATAAGCAAAAGGGCTTGATTATATAGATATTATTAGAAGCCAAATAATGTTTACTAGAAAGTTTCGATTCTTTGAGGGTAGCCCTGTATAGAATATGTTATGAGGATTATTAAAACGACTCTCACAAAAATATATTATTGTAACCTGTGTCCATCTAATGAAACTGGTGCATGACAGCCAAGACAAACAGGTCTTGTATACTGCTTAGGTCCTACTGCCATAGGATAATCTAAAAATATATTTTTTTAATTATTTAAAAATGGCAGATTCTTCACCTACATCTATATAATGCTCTTATTTGTATTTTATTAACTATCTAAGATATTCCGAAGACCCAATGATCCAAACCTTCCATCACGAATTTGATTAACTAGCCTTAGAGGGCGCTTCGCGCCCATCTTCTAAATTAATTGTGAACATGTTCTCGTAAAACAAAACAAAAATAATTCGCGGATTTTCACAAAAAATTTCGTGTATTTTCAAAATTTAAAAAAAAATTCATCTTGGATATATCGTAGAATTAACAAATATTCTTTACAGAAAACTTTTAAAACTTGTATATGTATATTATGCTTAATATCTAGCTTGTTCTTACTGTTTCTTATATCAAAACTTTCAAAGTTTTAGAGAAGTTTATAGATTTTATTAAATTCTAAATACACCTCTAATAATCTAGATATTCTTTAAGTTTATGCTAACAGATTACACAGATAGGATAAAATATGTGATAAAGTGCATGATAATCGTGAACGGAATCATATTAATTTCCAGAGAGCCATTTTTTACAAATTTTTTTATGTAATTGAAGACAATAATTTTTTTGTTTTCTATTTGTGAAAACATTGCTATATGCAGCATACAATATAAACATTGATACAGAAAATTTTATTTTACTGCCGTATGAAAAAAAATCTCTAGTGCAGTATAAAATATATTCACCTGTGAATATGATTTCTCCAGGTTTGATATCTCTAGTGGCAACCAAATATCGCCCAAACCCTGTAATCATATTTTGCTTCAACAACAGATATTTTGCAATATATTTAATGTAAACTCAAATATATTGAATATTTGCACGTCTCTCAACGTCAGTTTCATTTGTTGAGAATTAATACTGTATTTATCCTGTTTACCTTCACGTGAATTTAACCGTATTCCAAACTGTGCCTTTATATCTCAATTTAAACAACTAAACATGAATATTTTGCCTTTTTTCTTCTTTACTTTTTTGATGGTATATGCGTTTTAAATGAAAAAGTAAATTTAAGTAAGTTTAAAGATTATTGAATTGAAGAACAAAATAAGATAGAATTCAAATATAAGTATCCGAACGCATCTTGTTCTGGTTTACCCTGATTACATGTTTACCTTGTTCTGGTTTACCCTGATTACATGTTTACCTTGTTTATTGACAATCTTAAATGGAGAACAGGTTCCTTTATGTTTACTCTGATTACATGTTTACCTTGTTCTGGTTTACCCTGAATACATGTTTACCTTGTTCTGGTTTAGCCTGATTACATGTTACCTTGTTTATTGACAATCTTAAATGGAGAACAGGTTCCTTTATGTTTACCCTGATTACATGTTTACCTTGTTTATTGACAATCTTAAATGGAGAACAGGTTCCTTTATGTTTACTCCAATCTTGCTTCTGATGATCCCTAAATTAAATCCTACTAAATCCAACTAAATCAAATTAAATCCAGTTAAACCCTGACCTCTGAAAGCCTTAATCTAACAAAATCTATTTACTTTGGTTGTCTGTTTGTATCCAATAAACGTCACAAAAGCTGAACCTATCGAGCCAAAATATTTCATGGCAACTCACATGACCTTAGGCAAGGTTTATGGGCCGTCAAAATTGAGAATTTTAACCGAATAAATACTCCAATATGAATAGTAAAAGCTGCAAGAATTTGAGAATGATTAAAAATGGCGACTTCTAGGTCTCAAATCTGAAATTTACTACTTTAGAGAAAAGCGTGCAGTGATGCCACTCAATAATTTTTTCGAAAAGCAGCGTGAAAAAATTATAGTTATATCAGATAGAAAGTATCCTTAATCTGGAGCAGTAAATGGATAAGAAGTATTCTATACCTGGAGCAGTATCTGGATAGGAAGCATCCTGTACCTGGAGCAGTAGCTGGATAGGAAGTATCCTGTACCTGGAGCAGTAGCTTGATAGGAAGCATCCTGTACCAGGAGCAGTAGCTTGATAGGAAGCATGCTGTACCTGGAGCAGTAGCTGGAAAGGATTATCCTGTACCTGGGGAAGTAGCTGGATAGGAAGTATCCTGTACCTGGAGGAGTAGCTGGTTATGAAGTATCCTGCACCTGGAATAGTAGCTGGGTATTAAGTATCCTGTACCTAGAGCAGTATATGGATCGGAAGTATCCTGTACCTGGAGCATAAGCTGGATAGGAATTATCCCATACCTGGAGCAGTAGCTGGATAGAAGTATCCTGTACCTGAAGCAGTATCTGGATAGAAGTATCCTGTACCTGGAGCAGTAGCTGGATAGGAAGTATCCTATACCTGGAGCAGTAGCTGGATAGGAAGTATCCTGTACCTGGAGCAGTAGCTAGGTAGAGGTATCCTGTACCTGGAGCAGTAGCTGGATAGGAAGTATCCTATACCTGGAGCAGTAGCTGGATAGGGAGTATCCTATACCTGGAGCAGTAGCTGGATAGGAAGCATCCTGTGCATGTCAGCAAACCTTTCTCTTTGCAATCATTTATTCTAAAAGATAAAAACTTTGAAAAAGAAATGTCAAAATTGTTTTCAATAATTGTCTTGAATATTTTACCTGCATTTGTTTCCAGCAAGGTTAGGATATGTTTGACTGATTAGTTTCCATAGCGGAGATTCAACCTTCTCCGGGTCATAACCCGAACACAGCATTTTTCTGGAGAACGGAAAACCTTACTTTGGTCTAACTGCGAGGTTTATAATAAGAAAATTAGTTGCTCAAATTCATTAAATCCTATCTCAGATGTCCTATGCACTAATGTTTATGAATGTTTACTACAGCATCCAAAAATACAATAATGTGGGCTAATTTTATAAATATATTTCACGAAACAAAATCTTACCCCATTATCTCTCAATCTTTCACAGGTTTTAGTGGATTTTTCTAAATTTGTAAGGAAACTTCGCTGGAGGGAGTTTTTTGCCACTCAGGAAGACGACCATGAATATCATCCTTCAATCTTCAGAAAAGAAATAACTAACCTTCCTCGTAATCATAAACCACCAAAAGAGCTTAAAATGTTTTGTCATGCAGTTAAATCAGAAATCCTAGACCCAGAGAATAGAAATAAGATCAGAATCAGGAATCATAATTCTGAAGTTTGAGAGTTATATGGAATCCTGTCTGAACGAACTTTCTAACCAACAACTGCAAGAGAATGGAACACTAAATCCGTACCATATACAAGTTGAAGAGAGGGAAGTTGAAGAAACAAAGAAACAGATAAAGTCTGTTTTAGATACTGCAGCTGATAAGAATTTCATCACAACTGAAGAACTAAAAGCTATGCTGGCTGATGACAAGAATCCAGCAAATTTTTATCAACTGTTCAAAGTACATAAAACTCACATTACAAAAGATACTCCACCAAGTAGGCCTATTATCAGCGGCTCAGGTAGTTACACAGAGAATATAAGTTTATTTTTGGACAGTTTTCTGAAACCCCTTTCCAACTTACACACATCTTATCTTCCGGATACTCCAGATTTTTTTAGATGTGTTGAAGAAATTAACAAAGATAATTTACCAGCCAACTCTATTCTATTCTCTGTAGATGTTACAGGATTGTACACAAATATACCTCAGGATGATGGTCTAGAATTCTGTAGAGAAGCTCTTGAAAACAGAACTGATAAATCTGTACCTACGTCATTTTTGATTGAGCTGCTAAACATTTGTTTGAAAAATAACATATTTGAATTTGGTGGTAAACTGTACAAACAACTGATAGGAACAGCAATGGGAATACACCCAGCCCCTTCCTATGCAAACATTTTTATGGCTAAGCTTGATGATCAAATTGTGAAACTTGCAAATACTTACAAAATAACTGATGAGTGCCCCCTGAAGACCTCGAAAAGATTTCTGAATGATTGTTTTGGAATCTGGACAGATTCTATTGAGAAATTATATCAATTCCTGGATGATATCAATAAAATTCATCCTACAGTCAAGTTTACTCTAGAACATAGTTCTCCATTTTATTGTGGTTTAAAGGATGAACATGACTGTTGGTGCCACAGAACAAAAAGTATTCCATTCCTTGACACAAAACTGTATATTGAAGATGGAAAAATCACAACAGATCTCTAAAGAAACCCCACTTCCGTCATTTTGCCACCCAGCACATATTTCTAACAACATACCTTATTCACTTGCATACGGAATTGTAAGAATTTGCAGCAAACCAGAACTTAGGGATGCACAATTCTTAAAACTAAGGGATTTTCTTCTCAGCAGGGATTACAATTCTTCAATTGTTGACTCTGCTATAGTGCGAGCTAAAGCTATACCTAGATAAGTTGCTTTAAAGAAAGTGGAGAAAAAGGAGAAACCAGATCGAGTTATATTCCTCTATCTCATTTAATCCCCAGATGCCTTGTATCTCCTCCATCATACAGAAACATTGGAGAACCATGGTCAAGGATCCTTGGATGAAGGAGGTTTTTCAAAATTGACCTATGGTTACCTATAGGAGACCTGCTAATCTCAGGGATAAACTCATCCGAGCCAGAATTCCAGATCCTCCTATAATGAGGCCAAAGAGGCTAATAACTAGTATGAAACCTTGTGGTTTAGATTGCCCAACTTGTCCCTTCATAGAGCCTGGAACAGTTATACAATCCTCTGATACCAGCAAGAAGATTGAGATTAATGGAACTTTCAACTGTAAGACCAGAAATGTAGTTTACTGTATTTCATGCGAACAGTGTAAACTACAATATATAGGACAGACAACAAGATCTTATATAGATGAAAGAGTGAGAGGACATATTGGTTACATTAGAAATCTCCATACAAACCATGCCTACAGGAGAACATGTTAACCTTCCTGGACATGAACTCTACCACCTAAAAGTTAGCGTTCTAGAGAAGGTTTGGGACCACGGAAGAAGTTTACTTGAAGTACGAGAATCTATATACATCAGAGATTTTATGACTGAACTGATATTATGAACAGAAAAAAAATAGTTTTTATTTAATTGTTAACTGTAATTCAGTATGTTTTAAAAAAAGTGTTTTTTATGTCCAATTTTTATAAGGTTTAAATACCCCTCCTTAAACAAGCTGCCTCCCCCTCCCCCCGATATCCGCAAAAGTTCGTTAATTAGATCGACCCCCACCACCACTCTATACACATACATCTAAACAGTTTGTTTTTAATCTTTGTGACAGAAACAATCTCAAGGAATAATAATTGTCTTAAATTAGTTTTTTTAAGTGAATATTATTTTATCTCATTTCCATCTCATAATCTGAGTTCGTTTCCCTAATGTCCATTTGACAGACCAAATTTTTATTTTGAATAATCTTTTTTGTTTGTTTATCTTCTTGTGATTTTTTACATTTTTTATTGATTTTGATGGTTATTATATCGTTAGAACTGACGAGGGTCAACCCAGACCGAAATATATTTTCAATAAATGTGGAACTAACATCTACTTTTTTACTCTTCAGAGGTTTGGTCCATCACCATCACCGAATTGTGAAGTAAATCAACATTGTGATTCCTGCTCCTGTTGATATTTTTTAACATTGGGGCAGAGTCATCTGAGAAGACACACAGGGTTGACCCACAATGGATGAAAAATTATCTTATAATGTTTCATCCATTTTTTATAATTGAGCAATAATATTTAGACCAAGATTTTGAAATTTAAAAAAAGAACTATAAATGGTACTAAGAAATTGAGTCTTTCCCTATATCTAATCCCTATATCTCTGCAACCTGCAGTGGTAAAGCTTTGATATTTTGAACTTTCATACATTTCTAAAATGTTCAAAGCACATTTTCAAAGTAAATCAGTAAAAAATACCATACCAATCAATTCACAATTTTCTTGAATTCACCGTATACAGGGTTGGCAAGAAATAATGAGACGTTAAAGATGACCTGAAACTCATATAATGCAACAATTTATAGGTTAAATAGCGTCTCATATAATCTTTTAATGCCTATTTTAATGATTTGGCAAAGAAAGAAAAAATATTACAGTTGCATAGAGTCATGAATATAAGGAAACAGTTTCGCACAGGACGTACAGTCGTCTCTGAAGTCTCATCCTTTGTGGGTAACTCTGTACATTGTTGAGCTAGGTTATTATATTGAGTTAGACATGTTGACCACTGCAGACTATTTATATATGTGCCGACTATTTAGGAAAAGAAAGCTTTGCATGTACACTCAAGAAACAGTAGACAGCTTTCTCATGTTTGTGGGATTATATTTATACTTTACTATAGATTACCGACCTAAAGGGTTTAAAGGTAATCCAATCGAATTATTTTTGTACCATAAATCTTAGGAATATACACTACAGGGTGGCCCAAAAAAAATGAGACTTTAAAGACGAACGTTGAAACTCTTTAATTCTGAAGATTTAAAATTAAATGTTCTTTTGTAGGCTTTTTTATATATTAATTAACAATAACAGATAGAACATTAGATGTCGTCTTTTCAAGATTTAGAGGCTTTTCGTTCACAATTAAACTCTGCATAAACAGGTGGCTTTTTATGACCATATCATTCATAAACCATTTTGGCAGAAAACACACGGCGTAGAACAGCTGTTCTATTTCTGTCTTGCAATTCTATGCTGCATGCGTATAACTCCTTTGGCGTCTGTCTTAGGGTTATTGTGAACGAAAACCTCTAAGCCTGGAAAAGACGACATTAAGTTTTCTAGCTGTTATTTTTAATTAATCTATGTTTTTTTAAATTAGTTTAAAAAGAAATAAGAATATGAAAGCTACAGGGAAGCATCAAAGCAGAAAAACATGCTGTCACATCATTTGTGGGTAACCATTTAAATCTGTAAACAACAGGGAATAAGAATAAACGGAAGGGAAATGGCGCTGGTCTGGCATGAGAAAGCCAGTCGCACTGCTTTGCAGACGAGTTCGTTATTACACACGCACACTCCTTTGGTACAGACACACAACATGACTACAGTCAAGGAAATTGCAGAACAATGTCGTCAACTATAATTAAACTTGAATAACGAGTAGTTTATTGTAAACTTTAATCAAAGTATATTCTTTGCAAGAAAATTTGATTTATAGTGTTGACTTAAATATATAAATAATATATTACATGTATATTAAACTCATTTTTAAGTAAACAATTAACAATAAACAAATGTACTTTCCTAGACTGTACAAATACCGACATTCAATTGTACTGTATATACCTACAGTACACACCTTCGGTTCGGTAAACTTTACACACACTCTTTTGGTACAGACACCCTTACATGACGTTTCCGCCCCTTGAAAACAATATAATTTATTTCACTTTAAAATAAGACGACTTTCACAGCGTATTTATACAGATTTCTTGCTACAGTATAAAGATTTTTTTTTCATGTTCATAACAGTTGATTTTAATCTAGGACCTTTTCCATAAGTGATGCATAATGCACAGTGCATATATTTATATATCTTAATATTTGTGGATTTTTGTGAATCCCAACTTCCAACTAGAAAATTCTTTTAATAAAAATTCATTTTTACAATTGTCAAATACTACATTTAAACCATTTAGTGGAGAGAAAGCATTTGGTACTCATATCCATTCCTGAAAAATAAAACAGTTCAAAATTAGTTAAAAAATGCTTTTTATAATATTTTATATTATATACAGGGTGTCCCAATAAACATGGTAATTAAAAGAGACGACTTGAATTTGAAAAATGATAAAGCATGTATCAAAAAAAAGATTTTATGTTTTATGGGCTTTTCAACAGTGGTCATCTTTCCTACTTTGTATCTCCAATACAATGGTGTTAACGAAATAGTGGTTTGTGGAACAAAGACGATAAAGAAGTCGACAAATAACTTTCATGTTTACTGAGACACCCGGTGTAGTATCACCTGGTGTTGTTTTGATTTAAATTATTTTGTACTGTAAAGCTGTTGTATGGGGGCAACGATAGATCAGAAAGGAAGGAAGATTCCTGATATGAAAACTTGTTAATTTTTCAAGTTTTTTGTTTACAGTTAAACCCTAAATGAGCCATAAACGAAAGAATTTATCAAATGTCGTCTTGACAATTTTTCAATGGGTTTTATACTATTTTACGTAAATCTCAGTATTTGCGAAAATAAATGAATAGCCATGAAGACACGGGAACAGTTTTGAAGAGCTCCAGATAATTATTTAATCAAAAAACTAAATATCTGCAGCATTCTATTATCAGAAAGTGATGAATACGTCATTTTATGAATTCTTTCGATGTATCCCTTATTTAGGGTTTAACTGTTCTAGTTTTTATTTTTCATTATTTTAACTTTTTAATCCCTATATCTTTATAATCCATGTAAACCTTTCATCTTTTTAACTTAGATTAAGTGATCTAGCAGAATTAATAATTTAAAATATCAAAGGTCTAGCACATCAGGTTGCAAAGATATAGGGATTAATAAACTAGAGTATTTGGCGACTATTCAGTTCCTTCAGATAAAGACATGACAACCTGATGTTGGTTATTTTACGTGAACATGTTCATTTAATGCTAGTGTTTACAACTCCGTTGCGAGGAATTGCGTGCAATTGCGTGAAATTGTGTGAAATGGCGCGGAATTGCACGGAATTGCGTGGAATTGCGCAGAACTGCGCGGAACTGCGCAGAATTGCGTGGAACTGCGCGGAATTGTGCGGAATTGCGCGGAATTAAAGGGCTCACCTGGTATGCCGGAGGTAAGTCGGAGAATGGATTTATATGATTTGCTTCAGTAATATCCAGAGGTATTCCATGTCCGGGCTCTATCCCAGAAATAGCAGATATCTTCTGCTTAAACCTAGAGAAAGAAAAGAAGAATAAACCAGGAATTCATCCTTATCTTTGTTTAAAAAAGTGTGGCAGTTTCTCCTGAGGAATGTTACGAGTTCTGCTTAGGCTAAGTTTTATTTAGATTCCAACAACCTATAAGCTGGACAACACTTTTTTGTGACAAAGAAAACGCAAATCCAGAGGCCGAATTTAAAGAATTTGAGCCGCGACTTAAATTTGAGACGCGATCAGATTATGGAATTGGTTTCACTTAAAATTGTATTCATGTTACAATATTTAAGCCGGTGCTCAACTGAAACCGGGTTTCGGCGGATTTGAGACGCGGCTCATATTCATTAAACTCGGACTCAGGTCTATCTTTCTTTAAAAAAAACTTGTGTTATGTATTATATTTATTCTAAAAATTAATCATCGTAGCTTCGAATATTTTATCTCATGACAAAAAAAAGATTTAGTAAAAATCAATTATCCACATTGTTAAAACATGTAAAATCTTTCGTTTAATTTATGATTAAAAATATAAAAACCCATATTCATTAGCTTACAAGAAATAATAACGGCTGGATATTTCATTAGATTTTAAAGCATTAGTTATTGGGAATTTTAAAGCATTAGTTGCTTTTGGAATTATAAATGCTCCTCAAAATCTGAAAAATTTTACAATTTTCTACAAAATGGTATATTTTAAAAGTTTTCTTTTAATAAATACACTTTGCAAATGTTTACACTTAAATTATATAAAACGACAAGAAGAAGAGTGAAGCAGATTCTAGTGTACTGCTTATTATGTTCCACCTGTACACTGTACACAGCTGATACCTGTGCGCTTGAACTATAAGTAGAATATGTACAAAAAATACATGCATTATTTCTATATACTCTACCTGTATTCTTGTACTGAGAACAGCAGAACCTAGTACTGTTACTGTACTCTACCTGTATACTTGAACTGCAAGTAGAAGGAGTACAGCAGAACCTAGTACTGTTACTGTACTCTACCTGTATACTTGTACTGCAAGTAGAAGGAGTACAGCAGATCCTAATACTGTTGCTATGGATATTCCTATTCCTATTCCAACAATTTCTCCTGTTCCTAATCAGAGAGGAAACATTAAATGATTAATTTGGTTTAGAAAATACCATAGAAACAACGAGTCTCTAATTGTCTTTGCCTTGAAAATGCTGTAAACAACTAGTCTCTCTTTGTCTTTGGTTCAGAAAATACGTTTAACAATGAGTGTTTGGCAAAATCTTATTAATAATTGGTTTATGTTAGTTTTTGACTTAGAATATATTGTAATAGATTAGTATATGTTTGTCTTTGGTTTAGAAAATACTATAAACGAAGTCCATGTTTGTCTTTGGTTTAGAAAATACTATAAACGATGAGTCTATGTTTGTCTTTGGTTTAGAAAATACTATAAACGATTAGTCCATGTTTGTCTTTGGTTTAGAAAATACTATAAACGATGAGTCTATGTTTGTCTTTGGTTTAGAAAATACTGTAAACGATGAGTCTAAGTTTGTCTTTGGTTTAGAAAATACTATAAACGATGAGTCTATGTTTGTCTTTGGTTTAGAAAATACTATAAAGGATGAGTCTATGTTTTTCTTTGTTTTAGAAAATAAAGCTCACAACATACAAATAAAACAAAATCAATCAATAGATAGATCTATTTCCAGTTTGTTATCATTGTCTGAAAAACTTGACCATGGGTAAACCTATAACCATAGTGAACACTTATTTTACACGGACTGATCTTGCTTCCTGTTTTCCCTTAGACTTAACTATTAGGTTTGGATAATTAATTTTTGTTACTCGCATGTAGCATTGATTTGCTAATGACTTGTAGAAAGCTGGATTTTCAAACATAAAGAGTTATGTTCTTTTGTCCTTTCCTCAGTTAGTCATAAAGAGTAAAAATAAAAGTATAAATAGTCTTTTTTTGTCTAATTGGCGTAGAAAATACAAAACAAAAATCTCTGTTTGTCCCCAGTTTGGAGTAAAACTGAAATATTCTCTGATTGTCCTTGGTTTAGAAAATACTGCAATAGTCAGTAGTCTCTGTTTGTCCGTGATTTAGAAAACACTGAAATAGTCTCTGTTTGTCCTTGGTTTAGAAAATACTGTAAATAGTCTCTGTTTGTCCTTGGTTTAGAGTAAAACTGTAAATAGTCTCTGTTTGTCCTTGGTTTAGAGTATACTGTAAATAGTCTCTGTTTGTCCTTGGTTCAAAGTAAAACTGTAAATAGTCTCTGTTTGTCCTTGGTTAAGAGTAAAACTGTAAATAGTCTCTGTTTGTCCTTGGTTTAGAGTAAAACTGTAAATAATCTCTGTTTGTCCTTGGTTTAGAGTAAAACTGTAAATAGTCTCTGTTTGTCCTTGGTTTAGAATATACTGTAAATAGTCTCTGTTTGTCCTGTGTTCAAAGTATAACTGTGTCTGAACTAGACACAGTCAACTTTAATTTAATTTCAAAAGGAATGAAAAGCCTTAATGGGATTAATCGAATTTTTGTCTTTACAATAATAAAATTAAAGGTTATTATTTTTTTCAAATAAACACTTCTAAAGTTCCACTCTAAAAATGTGTCTTCTTTCTTTAGTAAAAATTTACCAGACGATTTGATACAAGTTGATTTCACATCCATGCTTTCACTCCAGCCGGAGTAAAGATGTCTGTAAAAAAAAATTGAACATTTTTAGAAATAGAAATTTGGTTGCAATTTTAAATTTCAAATTACCTTAATCTTCCATCGAATATTATTAAGTTCCAACATCTCATTGATACATTTAAATGGGAGCATTCTCCTAGCTCACCCGTCCCCAGTACTAGTTCAGATTTACTAAATAATAATATTTTTCCCCAGTACTAGTTCAGATTTACTAAATAATTATATTTTTCCCCAGTACTAGTTCATATTTACTAAATAATCATATATTTCCCCAGTACTAGTTCATATTTACTAAATATTCATATATTTCCCCAGTACTAGTTCAGATTTACTAAATAATCATATATTTCCCCAGTATATAGTTCATATTTACTAAATATTCATATATTTCCCCAGTACTTGTTCATATTTACTAATTATTTATATATTTCCCCAGTACTACTTCATATTTACCAAATAATCATATATTTCCGTAGTACTAGTTCATATTTAATAAATAATCATATATTTCCCCAGTACTAGTTCATATTTACTAAATAATCATATATTTCCCCAGTATATAGTTCATATTTACTAAATATTCATATATTTCCCCATTACTAGTTCATATTTACTAAATATTCATATATTTCCCCTGCAGTACTATATAGTTCATATTTACTAAATATTCATATATTTCCCAACTTGTTCATATTTACTAAATATTCATATATTTCCCAAGTACTAGTTCATATTTACTAAATATTCAAGCCAACCTTTTCATATTAGACAGAGAACAGCAGTTTGAAATGTCGTCTTCACATGAAGGAGGATCAAGATCAAACCGAGCATAGTCTCTTCACAATAAAAAGTGTTCGTTGAATGATGATTTTATTTTACATAATCTATATTTGAAGGTCCTTTATTATGCTTGTTAAGCTGTGAGGCCAATATAAAATCGCCTTTTATCTTTGACAGGTCCAAAATTTTAATTATTGTGTCTTAAGCATAGATAAATAAATAAACATAGATAGCTTATGTACGCAAAATCACCAATAATTGTACAGTCCGCGAACTCATACTTCTAGGGGTCAAAGTGTATTTCAATGATAAGCGGGGTGGTTTGGTGTTTTAATGGATTTCATAATAGAGAACTGAAGAAGGACATGAGAAGGACTAAACTAACTTAAATTTCTCTCTACAGAACTCATGTACACCACAAGTACTCAATGACATAAGAACAGCCAATGTTCACAAGTTCACAACCGATCTAGTTAATCTACATAATAGGAATATCTTTAAAACATCTCTGTACATTTATATCTTTCAAGATGAAAAATGTTGTCTTATGCGCAATCTATCTTTATCTATGGTCTTAAGTTTAACAAACTATTTAAAATCATAACTTAAGTCTAAATGTCGTCTTTCTATTTCATAGTTTTCTGGTTCTTATGCTGTATAAGGTCATTTTTGAATGTATGATGATGGGAAAATACAGGGTTACCAATAGAGCATGTAACTATAAAGACGACCTGAAACTCTTAAAATTTATGGATTCCTGGCTTACTTTGCAAAGTAAGAAACGAATTTACAGTTTCAGGGAATAAAGAATATAAGGAAACAGACAGAACACATTCCGTACAGTCGTCTCTGAAGTCTCATTCTTTGTGGGTAACCCTGTATGATTTAAACCTGAGAATGTTATCGTATACACGGGCCTCACAACCTTCAGCTGAACTAGACCCGTACAATAGGTCAATCTAGCAATTCAAAATCTTTCTTTTTTTAAAAAAGATTTTTTATTATTATTGTAATTTATTCAAGTTTTTCATTAAGGATTGATATACAATTTTCTTAATAAATTTAGCAAAGGAAATCTATATCTACAAAATCCCATTAAAAATGAATACGTTATTTTAACAAAGGATTTGTAGTTTTTATACTTCAGGTTTTTATACTTTACTAAAGTTTGATTTATATTAAGAGTCAGGTACAGAACATACAGAATGTACAGAATGTACAGAATGTACAGAATGTACAGAATGTATGTCGCATGGTGATATTCTGTAAACTTGCCGTACGTTGTACATTATTAATGGTTTAATGTTGTAAACTTAGACATAATGACATTATTCATTGAAACTGCGTTTCAATTGAATACTTGATATGATTAGCTTAAATTATTCTCTCTAATCTTATAAACACGTACATTAAACTTTAATTTTAGTGCAATAAATATGTAATATGATGGTCTTAATCATGTAATATAGATAATATTGTAGGAATTGTAACTACCTCAAATTATGTGAACATGTGACATAAGATATTAAATAAAGCTTAGTTTATAGAGTAACTCCGTACTGTTTACTGCGTGAGAGTAAACTTGAAACCCTGAAGATTGTATTCAGGTGGATCGTCCCCGCTAATTTGGGATCGATATCTAGCTTGTGGATAGCTAGACTGAAACCCTGTTTTGATAAGCAAGTTAGATCGTCCCCATCGATATATAGCTTGTTGATAGCTAGGCTTGTGTCCCTGTGTGGCATTTAGAGAGGATCGTCCCCGTCATCTGGGATCAATATATAGCTTGTTGAATAGCTAGGTGTTTTTTCCTGTGTGGAGTTTAGAGCAATGAATCAATAGCTTGTTGGATAGCTACGCTTGTGTCCCTGTGTGGCATTTAGAGCACCGGATCGTCCCCATCATTTGGGATCAATATATAGCTTTTTGAATAGCTAGGCGTTTTTTCCTGTGTGGACTTTCGAGCAATGAATTAATAGCTTGTTGGATAGCTACGCTTGTGTACCTTTGTGGCATTTAGAGCACCGGATCGTCCCCATCATTTGGGATCAATATATAGCTTTTTGAATAGCTAGGCTTGTGTCCCTGTGTGGCATTAAGAGCCAGGTGGGTTGTGTCCTGGTTGAACTAATAGCTTACTAGATAGCTACACTTGTGTCCCTGTGTACGGAATGTACAGATTGTACAGAATATACAGAATGTACAGAATGTACAGAATTTATAGAGTGTACAACATGTACAGAATGTACAGAAGGATGGTCAGTCAAATCTAAAATCATAAATTCAAGAAAATAATCCTTTAAACTATTTTTGAACGACGAGTTTCAGAGATTTATTTTAATAAGATTTTACAATTTCTTAGTTTACCTTATTTTCCTCACTTATATGTACTGCATCAAGCTGTACATCTGTTGGTACTGTACTCACATGAAAAGCAGGAGACAAGTCTGTACACGCCCATTCAGTACACTGACTTACTTCCAACCTATAATGGTCGGCGATTATATAAATACAATGCAGACGACTTTTTATTAAGAATGCTTTAACTCAAATCAAGCATTTTTTTAAATACAAGTTTATAAAGAAACAAAGAGAAGATGTTAATCGACAACTTTTTTTCTTTAAAAGTTAAAATTAAAATAGAAAGTAGCCTTCAACGTATTGATATATACGACGACGACAGTATGATATTTTTAGTCATCAATAAAGTAAGGCCACTTGAAACTTCAATTAATTTGAAGTATAAGCCCAATTTTAAGGAGCTAGAGCAAGTTGTGTCCAGTATACAAATAATAGACGGTAAAACGGGAAAGTACACAACGTGAATAATTCTCTTCTAGAGAGACATTTTATGTTAAAAAGCACCTACTTTTACAAAATATAATTTTTCAGTTATTATTTTTTTTTTGTTTAATTTTTATAATTTTACCTGGAACAGCCGGGGTTCAATATATTAGAAATGTTTCTCTCTATTATTTGTGTGCAGGAACTGAAATAAACAATTCTTCATATGTACAAATTTGTCTAAAAAACTCTGCCCCCCCCCCCCCCTGTTTTCATTGGTTAATTATTCCCCAATAGGAGCCCCCTGGAACGTAAAAAAAGGTTAAACTCTCCCTTGGACAAATTCCTGTATATACACCCCTGGATAAATTCCTGTATCCTGGATAAAGCTAATCTTTGTCTTTAATTTTAGACGTAGAAATCATACAAGAAACCGGATAAAAATTCAAGCAAAGAAACCTGATAAACAGTGAACAAAATGGCCAAATTTTATACCCGACGTGACCACTTGTGAATTGCATCAAACTTGTTAATACAAATTTTGAGATTAACAAATTTCATACTTAAAAATCAAAATCTTATATTTCGAAGAATTACAGAATATTAAAACTAGAAGTATGGACTCAAAGCGTTCAAGATTTCCTGTATAAAATAAAGACAACTCTGTATCTCTGTATACTCTGTGACATGATAAATCTACAGAGTTGTCTGGGGAAATTACTGTGCGCTGCAGTTGTAAAACAGTTCTGTGTAGTTTATACAAGACATATATTAGAATCCAAATAAAAATAGAGGAAGCGCCCGATTTCTTGATTGGAGGTAGTGATACCCAAACGTTGGCCCTGACAGAAGATAGATGGTAAAAACACTACCCAAATGATGGCCCTAACAGAAGATAGATGGTAAAAAAACTACCCAAACGTTGGCCTTAGCAGAAGATAGATGGTAAAAAACTACCCAAACGTTGGCCTTGACAGAAGATAGATAGTAAAAAACTACCCAAACGTTGGCCTTGACAGAAGATAGATGGTAAAAAACTACCAAAACGTTAGCCTTGATAGAAAATAGATGGTAACTAGTTCCTTACTTGGAGGGTAACTAGTTCCTTACTTAGAGGGTAACCAGTTCCTTACTTGAAGGGTAACCAGTTTCTCCTTACTTGGAGGGTAACTAGTTCCTTACTTAGAGGGTAACCAGTTCCTTACTTGAAGGGTAACCAGTTTCTGACTGGTGGGTAACTAGTTCCTTACTTGGAGGGTAACCAGTTCCTTACTTGGTGGGTAACTAGTTCCTTACTTAGAGGGTAACCAGTTCCTTACTTGAAGGGTAACCAATTCCTTACTTGGTGGGTAATTAGTTCCTTACTTGGAGGGTAACCAGCTCCTTTCTTGGAGGGTAAACAGTTCCTCACTTGGAGGGTAACCAGTTACTTACTTGGAGGGTAATTACATATTTATTTGGAGGGTAACCTGTTCATCATTTGGAGAGTAACTAGTCCCTTACTTCTAGGGTAACCAGTTTCTTACTTGAAGGGTAAGCAATTCCTTACTTGGAGGGTAACTAAATATCTACTTGAAGGGTGTCTAGTTCCTTTTTTGGAGGGTAAACAGTTCCTTTATTGGAGGGTAACCAGTTGAATACTTGTGGGGTAACTATTCCCTTACTTGAAGGGTAACCAGTTCCTTACTAGGAGGGTAACCAGTTCCTTACTTGAAGGGTAACTAGTTCCTTACTTGTAGGGTAACCAATTTCTTACTTGAAGGGTAAGCAATTCATTACTTTGAGGGTAACTTGTATCTTACTTGGAGAGTAACCAGTTCCTTACTTGGAGGGTAACTAGTTCCTTACTTGGAGGGTAACTAGTTCCTTACTTAGAGGGTAACCAATTCCTTACTTGAAGGGTAACCAATTGGATAGTGTTACCAGGTCCTTAAATGGATAGGGTAACCACTAACCAGGTCCTTAATTGAATAGGGTAACCACTAACCAGGTCCTTAATTGGATAGGGTAACCAGGTCCTTAATTGGATAGGGTAACCAGGTCCTTATTTGGATGTGGTAACCAGGTCCTTAATTGGATGTGGTAACCAGGTCCTTAATTGGATGTGGTAACCAGGTCCTTAATTGGATAGGGTAACCAGGTCCTTAATTGGAGGGTAACCTGTTTTTACTTGAAGATAAAATTTTATGCTTAAAAAAGAAACCTGTTTCTGAAAATGTCTAAGAGGATTTGAGTTGGAATTTTCTAACATTTATTTAAATTTAGAATTAATTCTGAGTTTAACGATCTATACCTGTTAAATGAGTACTTGGAGAGAATAAACCTACAGTAGGTTTGGTTGGATACTTGCAAGGATTTATCTATTTTCAGCTCTATCCTGGATATGTAAAGCATGTTGGATATCTACCATAATTAGGTGTATAATAAAGCATGTTTGGATAACTAACATATTTAGATACATTGTTATAGCATGTTTGATATCCATACCATATTTAGGTATATTAAATAACATGTTGGGATATCTACCATATTTGTTGTGGGAATATTCCCCCCCCCCCCTATTCTAAAAAAATGTTAGTACAAATTGTTGTATTTAGGTTGAAATTTTACCTAAGAATGGAGTTTTGTATGAAGGCTGCCTTTACTGTAGGTGGTAGATCTGGAAGAGTACAGTAGGTGGAGTTCCTAGTCTCCATCGTGAACCCAGATATCAAGGTGACCAGGGACCTCATGATGTAGCAAGTGGAGCTCTCCAAATCACTAAAAAATAAATGAAAAACTAAATTAACTTGAAAGAGAAGGATCCCTGATTCACAAAGGGCCAGCTCTTTAAAAGGAAGTTTACTTGAAAGTTACGCTTACAGTCCCTTTAAACTTGAAATTATAGATATTAAATACTTAGATTATATGATATACAATCAAACCCAATAAACTGTGGAATAAGAAGACGACAAAAATAATTTCACGAAAAAATTATTCCGCGAAAACCGTTAATTGCTCAAAAAAACTCTGGAATTCTCTGATCTCTGCTCAGTATAAGAAATTTTATTATATCATAATTAATAAATTCTCTGATTTTTGCTCGTATTTTTGCGGTTTATTGCCAAATTTTAGCGTTCTCTCGCGAAGTTTTCGCATTTCTTATTTCGCGAAACAGATTAAAGCGAAATTTCGCGAAAAAAATACAAAAAGATGCGAAATTTTCGGCTAAATTTTTTTTACGATTTTCCCTTTTCTCTGGAAACCCTAGTCTGTGCAGTGTTTCATTTAACTTCGTACAATCAGAACTTGAGTCTAAAAGTCGTCTTCCTGTTCCATAATCATATGTTAGATTGGAGAATTAACAAATTTGATCCCAGATATCCATAACTTATACGTTCTGGTATTTATATTATTTTAGATTTCATTTTTACTTTTTTTATTGACAAAATTGAATTGATAAAAATAATGATAATAATAATCTATCGTGTACGTGTAAATACATTATCTACAGATCTATCTGCATATCTATCTAGATTAAAATGTTTTTACGTACAGGGACCGAATTTTATGAATTTGAGATATGTCGCTTAACTACCTACTGCCGGTTCAAATTTGAACCACCGAAGAAGGATTTGAATCGTCAATTTTACTGAATTTGAGCTATATTGCTGAACTACAAACTGCCGGTTCAAATTTGAACCACCGAAGAAGGATTTGAATCGTAAAATTTGAGCTATACTGCTGATCTAATTACTGTCGGTTCAAATTTGAACAACCGAAGAAAGGATTTAAACCGGCGGTAGGAAATTCAATTTCATAACTTTTTTATTACAAAATATCAATAATAATTTTGTAATTTAAACTGATTCATTTCTGAAAGAATGCCCTGAATTTTTATCAATTAGTTTTAATAATAACAAATAAATTTATATTAATTGAATTACAAATTGTGTTCGTATATATTCATGGTAATTAAAAGACATAAAGACGACGTAAAAAATTCAACTTTTTATTACTATCCGTTGATTTGATTTGATTTTCGTTTAAATAAGAACTATTTTTTGCCTGATGATTAGATTTGAACCATTCGCTAATATTTCTCTTGGGTTCTCACATCTTAAGGTTAGTGAGATATAGGAGATATAGTGATCCTCCCTTATAGCGGTAAATTTTAAACCTTATGTCTAGTCATCGACAACAGAGTCCGAAATTTAAAAGAGTTTCGTTGAACGAAACTTCCGAGTTTCCTTTTTGGGGTCTTAACATTTTCTAGATTTTGATTTTAGAGATTCAACAAAAATGGAGAATATGAAGAAACTGAATAGAATAATATTCCATAACAAAAATATTGATATCCACAAAACTGCCTAACCTCATTCGTGAAACCCTGGTTTCAAAACTGGTTTTCATATTGATACCCTTAGGCCAAAACTCAAGACAGGGTATCGTGAAGAAAAATTAATGCCCAAAAATTTTACAAAAATAAATTTCCTGGGATTTCCCAATTGTGGTCTGCCATTTTTGTGGTAAACTTTTTATTTATTAAATAAATCCAAAATTATTAGACATAAGCATTGCGGGAAACTTAACGAAATAAGGAGAACAAAACGATCTTTAATTCGTCTCATAATTATCTTTTTTTAGGGACACACTGTACATTATTCATCATTTATCATTTATATATCTCCTAACCCTGAGGATTGACAAAATGTGAGCAGTGTCCGGTTAATCATGAAATCTCCTGAGGAAAGAACTTATTCTTTTATAAAACTTTATCCTTTGATTAAAAGATGGTTCCGTCTTGCGCTAAAGTTTGATTTTAGGGGAATATTTATTTGATATGATAAGTATTAAACTTTGATTGTCTTTACTTAATATTTATTTATGCAACTGCCTTGTGTTATTACACGAGACAATATTTTTTTGCTGGGATTTCTACTTATTCTTTTTTGTTTGAAATTTGAAGTTTTTAGTTCCCTAAAGTAGTGACCTTAAACTTTAAGAGAGAAAAGAAGAAAACAAATCCTAACAAAAAGGCTCAGTTACATTTGTCAAAATACTTTTTCCATAAATACTTTTGCCATAATTACACTTGCCATAAGTAACACTTACCATAAATTACACTTGTCATAAGTTACACTTTAATGTATATTTTTTGATTAAACAATTACAATTATAATTTTTGGAACTACAATTAACAAATCTAAGGAACAGTTAATGAGCAATAAGGTTAAGATACTGCTCTATTGGAAAAGTATTGTATTGTCATTGATTCTTCACCAAGCTCTATCTTCCAGTATTAGTTTCCATGTCTAGTTCTCCCGGCAGCATTGTTAGAAACTAAAGTCGGGGATTTTCATGAGAAAATTAGGTGAATTTTTTAATAAATGGTTAGATTTATATTTTTGGGAGGGTTAGAAAATTATGGCTAAAGTAGTTATGGCAAGTGTAATTATGGCAAGTGTAATTATGGCAAGTGTAATTGTGGCAAATGTAATTATGGCAAGTGTAATTATGGCAAATGTATTTATGGCAAAAGTAGTATAGCAAATATAACTGAGCCTGGCAAAAATAACGTGTCCCGCATGATAACACAAGGGAGGAGTTGCCTAAATAGATATATTGTTTTTAAATGTGCGGGAAATCTTTATGAAAATCACAAAAATTATTTTAAAACCTGGTTTGTCGGTATAAAATATCACTTATATTTGCCTTGGAACAAATACGAAACATTTTATCCCAGGGATTGTAAAATTGAGATTAAAATTGCGGGATAACAATTCTCTCAAAATTTATTATCTAATTTGGTTGTTGCCATGCACCCCTCTATATATTCACAAGCTCTCCTTTTCATCTTGTAATAGTTTATTTCCTGTTCCTGAGTTGTTGAGTGTACAGCCCTGGAAAAGGGTTTGTACATGTACAGTACCGTTCCTCAGGTACATAAATGTATTGTACAGACCACCAGCCTTCAACTCAACTAAACATATTCTAAATAACTAGTATTAAAGCGGAATATTTTTTATTATTTTAATTAGAAATAAAGATTAAGATTTTGTAATTCATAAAAGTTATGACTGATGATAACACGTAAATCTGCCCCTTTAGTAAAAGTAAATTCAACCTATATGAAGCATAAAGTCTGACCGCGTCAACCTTGTTGCATCGGCTGGTCCTGTCCATAGAGCTAGGTACAGTACAAACTGGGACCGGAAAGGTTGACCTGGCTCGGAAATTCAAATGTACTACGGCTGCCCGTGGTTTAGGGTACATTTTCACAGTTGAAACGGTAACAAATTAGAAAGACCTCATAGATACATGATTAAGACGACTTTCATTTAACTTTTAACTGGGATTACCCGTCCTTTGAGTCCAGGCGCGCGCAACAAGACATTCAACGTTGTGGGGGGGGGGGGGCAAAGAGCAAATAGAAGAAATCTTAAATCTTTGTTTTAGGGGCAAATTTTTTGGGGGGGGGCTTTTCAGTTTGGGCAAATTTGTGTATGGGCAAATTTCTTATTTAAGGGCATTTTCAAAGTATAGGAAGGGGCTTTTTATTTAATCTAAGAGTTGGGCGCAAAACTTCTTAATTTTGATGTAATTACCTTAAAGTTGGGTGTATTTATAAAACAAATGAAAATTAATTAATTCTAAAAAGGGGGCAAATTTAAGTCTGGTGGATCAAATTAAATCACTGTGAGGGCCTATTTTTTTCTTAAAATTTTCGAGAAAATTAGTTATATTTGGAACTATATGGACCCCTGTTAAGGACTTCTGGTCCTTCTTAAGGGGGGCGTGCCCCCCCCCTTAATCAGGCAAGGGGGTCCTGGCCTCCCCCACCCTAGTTGCGTGCTTGCTTTCAAGTTCATTGATTCATTTTCAATAATATTTTATTTATCAAGCGCTGATTTCCTACATTATTCTTATTTATTATTTATTTTTTTATTTATTTATTCTTATTTATTATTCTTATTTGGATTTCCTATTTTATATCCTGTACAATTTTTAATTGATTTCGTGCTTTATTTTAAGCTTGATTTTCTATATGATTAAGTTAAATGATTTCTTGTTAATTTCCTGAATAATTTCCTACATAATTTTTAATTGATTTCTTAACCAACTTTCTTTTGGTACACTACTTTATTTCCCGAGTGATTCCTATATATTAAGGTTTCCTATAATATTTCCTATAAAACTTTTTAAATATTTGTATATGATATCATATGTTTTTTTTCTATTGATTTCCATACAATATGTAGGAGTGAATAATTGATATTGTTTGTTATTTCATCTAAATAACAAAAAATACATTTCTAAGAAGAATGTGTTTTGAATAATTTATGTTTTGGTTTTCAAACAAATATGCTACAGAGGTTAAATTTTCCAACAATCAGTTAAATGAAAAACCTTCAAAAAGTAAATATATATGTTTTTACTTGAATTGTTAAACCGTGATCCCTGTATCTGTGCAACCTGATGGTGTATACACCTTTTAAATTAAATCATACAAAATTTATGTTTAAAATTTAAAAGATGGATTAGAAAATTAGAGTTTGTGGCACGAACCAGTTGTTCCTTTAAAGGTAGTGACCGGCAATGGATGGTATAAATAAATAAAGTAAATAAAGTATTATGGAGACATTTTTGAGACCTATGAGACGTTTTTACGGTGCATATTTGTTCAGCAAGAGCGCAAACTCAATCTTTAAAATCCTCATAGAATGTTCATTTTTGAGGGATGATTTTGAGAATCGGTTTTTTAAAAATTATTCAATATCGACGACAAAAAATGTAGTACAAATTCTACAGTATAGCTAATTAGTTGTTTAGGAACAGGTTGAGAAAGTAAAATTAACTATATTCATCGAAAATAAGGAATCTTATTCAGTTTGTTTCTGTAATGTCTCATTGTTCACAAAAACTTTCTTTAGATTTCCTGGAATTTTTATTGAAAAGACGACATTCTATGAATTTGAAGAAATCTGCGAACAAATTCGTTAAAGAATAAGAAATTAAATATATTGATGAAAAAGAAAAAGAACTAATTGATTCAAACATTGATTTATTGAGAAAATTTCGATGGAGAACTATTTTTACACTTTTTGTTGTCACTATTTTATAATAAAAAAATCGATTCTTAAAACGTAACCACCCAAATAGATGATTTTGAACGTCGGCTTTGCGCTCAAACGCAGTAATTATACATCAATTAAAAATTTTAAATAAATCCTAAAAAATTCTCCAGAATACTACATTCTCAGTTCAACTACCATACAATGCCGGTCACTCCCTTCAAGTTCTTAAACAAAGGAAACTTTGAAAAACGGAGATATGCAGAGTTACCCAAAACAGATGAGTCTGTGACGACGACCTCATTGCGTGGACGTTTGTGTTGTAGTTTTAAAAAAAGATACCAAAATTTCTTTTTATCTTTTCCTTTGACTTTGACGTAATTGCTACCAATTAGATTTGTTTCTAACTAAATAATTATCAATATTTTTACTCCGTACCTGATAAACTAACCTGAGTTTAATGAACAGGAAAGATGAGTGAGACCTGAATCCATGTTCCAGTTTATAAAAACAGGACCAGTCCCTTGCTGCAGTTGAACTGGGGACCTTTCTATACTCATCCAGTCCACTCCACTCTAGGATCAGATCAGGATATTTTAAACTTATATATAGAATTATCGTATCAAGTTGAATCAATTAAGAAAAATATATGAGAAGAATTTGGAAATAAAAAAAGAGTTGATTTTATTTTGCATTACCATTTTTTATCACCTTGAATTTTATTTTACTTTATGAAATGTTATTAAATGTTTTATAAATTTTATAAATGTAATTAAATGTTTTGTAAATTTTATATAAAAAATTTAAATGCATGTCAACTTCAGTAAGTTGCACTGATAAACTAGAATTAACAATTTGGTGTAAATTTAGAATTGGTTTATTCTCGGACTCATGCTAAATGAAGATCCCTGTCACCTGACAGTGTTGATGAATACACCAGAATAAAGTAATGGAATCCTCGTATCTAACAATTTATCAATTTTGAAAAAATAGAAATATTATCGAAAATTATTAAGATAAAATAAGATATTGAGAAAAAAATTAAAATCTAGAAGCTAAAATAGAGGAAAGGGGGGTTAAAGAAGCGATTGGGCTACACCACCTCCCCCCTTCCTATCTTTACCCATTGTTTTTAATTGACCAGAGTCGAGGTCGTCATAAAGAAATGAAAAAAATGAAAAAGCACTTTCTCATAAGATGAAGAAAATAATTTTCATTTTTAACAATGATCAGAAAAAAATCGATGATTAAAGAAAATGAAGATGTTGTGCCTGTTTTCTTAAATAATTATTATTCCTAATTTCATTTTTATTTATACACATATTTTCATATACATATATATATAACACCGCTTTTTCCAATAAACAAAACACAGCTAACTTGTGACCCCAGGAAAAGTTTACTATAGGTTAAAATTTACCGAAATTAAATACAAAAATTTGATTTTCAAAAATGTTACTGAAAATAATTACTCTTCGAAATTTTTCATTGCTGATTTACTAGTCTTGATGAAATGTTCCTAATTGGTTTAAAGTATAAAACAGGAATATTATCTTCTTGAACAAGAACAGATCTTCCTCCTTCTCCCACCTTGGATCCATCCACAAATATCTCCCTGGAATTAAAGGGACTATTCAGATATTTTACAGCGAATTAAGATTATTTAGAATGAATATTGATGTGAAACGAATTAAATAGATTGAAATAATCGATTCTTGTGAAACAAACCCCCAGAAATATCTATCCTTGTGATTTTTGAAGAGCAAGTTCGCAATCTAATAGATTCTAGTACATTAGATGGCAACGTAGAATTTGTACACTTTCAGTACAGCTATATTCTGTCGTCACAAGTGTCAATTCAGTTTTTGTGTCCGACAAAATTATAAATAATAGTGATGATTTTAGAATAAAGTGCTTTTCTTACAGTAAAATCAGTGCAATTTTATGTGTTCTTTAGTTTCTGTTTTTACCCTTTTTTTTAATCTTGGAAAACATTTCAACTAATGTGAGACAATTTCGTTTTCCTTGTTATATTTGACACTTGTGACGTCGTGTATAATTGGTTCATTTCTCTGTTGCCACCTATTGTACTTTATAATCTATTTGAGCAAACGAAAAAACGCTTATGAAGAACAAATGAATCTTAACATTTTATTTTAGTTCTACTGCTATACCTAGGAAGTTACTACCTTCAATGAACACGGGTTAGGTTAATCCCCCGAGATGAGAGAATTGGTTTACCTGAAACCTTCCATTCAAAAGTTCCCATGATTTGTATTACAGTTTCAATAAATTCAAATTATTTCGCTATCAGTTGAAAGGAATTGATTCTTTGCCACAAACTTTGATTTTCTAATCCCGATGTCTTTAAACCCCAATGTGATAGATCTTTAGATATTTCAGACTATGAATTCTATTAAATCAAATAATCTAAGTTTGAAATATCAAAGGTTTACACCAATCAGGTTGTAAAGATTTTGATATTAAAAAAAGTGAGTTTGTGGCAAGATTCAAGTCCTTTGACTAAAGGTAATCAAATTAAAATAGTCTAAATTTTATTTTATTCTTTAAGACTTAATTTAGTTTCCTGAATTTTTATGTTTAAAAACCTATGGTTTAAGTGCACAATTTATAAATGTAATTGTAAATATATAATTTATGTTTTGAAGATTTTCAACTTTGATCTTTTAAAAGATATTTCTTATATTCAAGAACTTTTACCTCGTCAAACGATTTCTGCTTTGAAAAGTTATTTTTAAAATTGTTAATTAACCAGTTTTTATAATTCACGATAAAACCATTGTGCATTCCAAAGATCTATTCTACCCAGCTAGCATAAGCAGAAATTCATTAAAATCAAGAGTCTTTGAAATGAAAACAGGGGCGGATACAGGGGGGTGGTGTAGGGACATTCGCCACCCCCTGACAGATTCAGGGCCCCTCCCTGAGATTTCGAGGCAAAAAATGTTCCCAATTTTATAAATCGAATGTGTTTTTCAATTTCAAGCTTTTTTTTATTTAATGGAAATCTTGACTTTCTTTTCTTCAGTTTAATTTAAAAATCAACGACAACAAGTAAATATTATTGCTAAAGATAAATTTAGAATTAGAAATTTGTAAGAAACTAGACTTAAGTTATAATATTGTTCATATCTAGTAATGTTTCTTAATCAATACTCATTTTTTTAAATTGTAATATTTGTCCTATTATTGTTCCTGTTCCTAATACTGTGTCCGACCCACCTGAAATCCCTGTCCTAATCCAATATTTTTGTTCCTAATTCCTGAACAATCTTTTTATTGTTCCTAAATCCCTGTCCGAATCCTTTAATTTTGTTCCTAATTCCTGAACAATCTTTTAATTGTTCCTAAATTCCTGTCCTAATCATTTATTTTTGTTCCTAATTCCTGAACAATCTTTTAATTGTTCCTAAATTCCTGTCCTAATCCGTTAATTTTGTTCCTTAAAGTTAAAAATCTAGTTTTTTAGTCTTTAGTCATTAATTTTGACTCTTTTTGAGTCTTTTAAGTCAAAAAAAAAAATTTCGCCTGCGGCACGATTTTTTGTTCCTAATTATTAATTTTTTTTTTCCTAAAAAATCTTGCCCCCCTCACTTAAATCCTGTATCCGCCCCTAAATGAAAATGATGTTTTACAAAAGTTAGCAAAGATTGAGAATTCTTCCTGTAAATATTACGGGAAACATAATTCCACAAAAACTATAAAACTAAAAAAACTACAGAAATGGAGTTCAGTCGACCACAAATTAAAATTTTCCAATCACTGTGTCTGATGGCATAAACCATTCAAAATATTTCAAAATGAGATGATTTGATCTAACCTAGAATTCGGAATTTGAAATATCAAAAGTCTACGAAATGTTATTGCAAATATATTGCGATATTTGTGGCAAAGACTTGTGTTTGTCTTCAAGTCGTTTTAAACATTTCTAATAGTTAGTTAGATCGATTACCTAAATTCATTAGAGGAACCTTTATCATTTTCGGAACTTATCAAAAATGTTGCATTTTCTCCTGGTTTCAGCTGAGCTTCAAATGTTGCCTAAAATTAATAATCTTTTTATTTGAATATAGTCATGGTACTTATTTTCAAACACAAAATACAAAAAAATAATGTATGATGGTTCAGCTTAAATAAAACACAAAAGAAAATGTATTATGAGCCAATTGAAAATATAATATAATTTTGTTTGATCGTTTTTGTTGATAATTTTGAAAAATTTATGATTTAGCATTCTTAATTAAAATTTTTCACCTGCTTGGTTAAATATTTCTGTCCGCGAAACAAAACTAAAAAATTTAAAAATAAAGTAAAAAATATTTTAATAAATTTTGTGCATAACAGCATGGAAATGAAAATTATGAAATTTGTAATACTCTTGGTAAAACTGACAACGAGAGAAAAATATGGTCCACAGTATTTTTCTGAACTTAGTTCAAACCTTAATGTAGGGGAAATATTCATAAAAAATAAAAAGCGACACATGGAAATTTTTCTGGTATTAATTATACATAAAATATCGTTTTCTAAACCTACTGATAATGAAATGATGCAGATATATATATATATTTTAATTGAATAATTATATGGCGCTCTTTTAAACCTTTCCCCGCATTTTTCATTGCTATTCATTTATTTTTACAATTACGAGATATAGGTATACTCAAGGTGTTATAATAGTATAAAACCCAATGTAAAATTGTCAAGATGTCCACCTGAATATGTAAAATTTTCTCCATTTTGAAACCTTTCTTCAAGTTTCCTCCAGTAAAGAGTAACCTAGAAGTTAAAAAAAAAGTTTAGATGCGGTTTCCGTTGAAACCTTCAGTTAAAAAAGAAAATCCATCTTAAACCTTCTTCAACAAATTATTTATATCCTAAGGATCACTGAGAGCTTAGTGATAACAGCTCCAAGCTATTAAAGCTCTCATGCTGCAGTAGTTTTAAATATATTTAATATATATTTACTAATGTTTTGTTAGTAACTTTTAGGATTTATTGTTACTGCAGAAATATATATAATTTGAATTGATTTCATTAGATTGATTTCATTTTCATTTTCCTATTGCCTTTTAAGGTGAATAATTCTTTTAGGAGTTGTGAACTTTTGAATGGACGGAATAACATTCTTGATCCTTGATATTAAGTTATTCGCCCATCTTACGTTTTTCTAGTTTTTGGTAATAATTGATTTTTTATTTTTACAAAGAAATACTTACAGTTATTGTATTTTCACAATTTTTCAAAATAAAAACTTACAATTGTTATGTTTTCAGAGGCCTCTCGGGTCAGGTAGGCATTCCTGGATACATCGGGAACATCAGGGACTAGACAGATAAATATGTAGAGCTCATTTATACTTTACCTAAAGTTTATTTCTATTCGTTCAGTTAAGGATTGAGTTTTTGCCACAAACCTAAATGTTCTAATCCCTAAAACAGTTGGTGAATAGTTTAAAATGTCTTCTTCCATAATTTGATAAGTTGTTTGACTAATAACATTTTTCATATGACAGTTATACTATAGTAAAATTGATTTCACAGTAAGATATATACATTTTTTAAAGAAATTAACTGCAATGAAGTATATGTGGAAGAAGACGTTCAAAACTATTCACCAACTGTCATGTTTTGTGGGACACACTGTATTTGCAACCTAATGATCGGTTAGAATTCATAGTTTGAAATATCAAAGGTCTGCGACATTGTGTTGAATAGTTATGGGATTAGAAATTTAGAGTTTGTGGCAAAAACTCAACATTTACGTTTGATTATTTTAGATAATTCCATATAAAGAAAGGACTTTAGCCTTCAATTCCAAAAATACCTTTGGTTTTTGTTTTGGTCAAGTCAGGCATAAAGTAAACAAAGTATTCAAATGTTGTTTTTCATTTACGCTTTTTTCCAGTACAGGGTGTCGTACCGTTTGCACTAATGATTGATCGGACTGGACTAACGTACATTCTCACTAACGTTCATTCTGAATAACGTTTTATTTGAGGGTTAGGTTAGGTTAAGACAATTTCTGGGCCGAGATCTGCGGCTAGGACAGGCTAGGGGGCCGAGCGCCGCGGCTAGGACAGGCTAGGGGGCCGGGCGCTGCGGCCACAAGTGTTACTGATCAGCTGACTTTAGTGCAAAAGTACGTTAGTTCAATCGGACATTAGTGCAAACGATAAAGCATCCAATACAGAACAGTAGTTAGGCGACTTGAAGGTCGTCTTTGATCTTTTAGAAATTTTGCGGCATTTATTCATTCGTAAAACTAATTTTAGAAGTAAAATTCTAGAGTTAATAATCTCAAAAATTACCCCAAAATGTGCATTTTTTTTGTACTTTCAATATCTTCAAAGGCACGAAGAATTTTGTTCTAATTTCGACAATTTTGGTTTTATTAGATAGATTGTAATCAGAACGAAACTCATGGCACATTGAAGTGTTTAATATTGACGAATGAATGATGCAAATAATTTTAAAGATCTGAGATCTACCTCCAAGTCGTTTTTCTACTGCCATGTTTCGTGGAACACTTTGAATATAAAAACTTCACCAGCTAGAAATACATGAACTAGACTGACCTGAGGATGCAGTTGAAACTGTAAAGTTTAACCAGGGAGACCAAAACCGTTCTCCAGTAGCAAGACAAGGTTTACTCCGTATGCCTACAATATTACCAGAGCTGTCGGAGAAATACATTTTTTTTGATTTAGTTTTGAAAGAATTAAACTTTTTAGACATTTTTACGTGTTGCTCTTTTGGAAAAAAGTATATTAAATAAATAAAAAAAATCATAGATATTTTCTAGATAGTTTACCTATAGTATATTCAGTATACGGAGTAAGATCTGGAACTATGAGAGTATCTGAGAAGGCTGTCTGATTACTCAAAATATTCAACTGAAAATAATCCAACATATCAATAATTCGAATCCAGTTACATAGTGTATTCATTTTTTTTTCTCCGGTCCCTCAAAAGTGTACTGTGTGTCTGGCCAAATTTTGAAAATGCACCCTGAAAAATTAATATAGGAAGAACTGATAATAAACATAGAAAAGTGGGGAAAATCGTCCTGAATTTCTAGATAAATTGGTAAAGGTCCTGCTTCAAAGTCAAGCGAGCCTTAATTTTGGAACCTGTTTTTAACCATTAAATGAAGATTTTTCATATTTGCTATATTTTACATTTTTTGTTGGACTATAGATATTATAAATACTAAAGTGCTAGACTTTTAGAGCGCTTCGTACTCATTTTCTAAAAACAATTTTAGCTTTTAACCTTGGCTCTAACAGGGGTAATTTTTTATCAATCTTAAATTTTGGAGGATTTGTTTGTTAAAAAAAGACGCATTTTAAAAAATAACAAATGTCCGGGAAACATTTTAAGTTCGGTTCAGCTGTTTAATGGATACAAACAGACACGCAATATAGATTTACGCTTATTTTGACGCATTTTGAGTTAGAGATGAAAATAGATGCCGAAACAGAATGTATTTACTTCGTTGTAATTAGTTTTACGTGCTTAGAGACGACTTTTTGTAAGTTATACAGCTTTATTTAACACTTTCATTCTTTACCTAATCAATATACCGATTTTTGAGAATTTTGGACAAATTTCGACATTCAATCTTCAGATTGAAATATCTAGGGAGTTTCAATTTTTTCATAAAAGTCTCATATTTTGTGGCTAACCTTGTATTTTACCTGTACATGAGCACGTTTGCTGTGTACATGAATATTATAAAGAAGACAGATTGGTTTAAAGCATAAAATCTGTTTACTCCGTCCCACTACTAGGTTCAGAACTCTCTCTCCTGTATCCTTTTCCTCCAATACCATTTGTCCAGGTCGTACTAGAAATACAAGATTCATACAGTTTTAAAGTAAGAAACGGTAAGTTTCTGTAAGGTTGGAACATTTTAGTTTCGGAAAGTTTTTAATTCATGGCAAATATAAAAATCCGGCGCCATGGCACTTGACAACCGCTCAACAACCTGCGTGCTAATTAAATCTTGATCAAATAAAATAATGATTTAAGTCATAAACTTTTTCATAGCGTAGCTTTATTTTTATAAATGAAATTTTACCAGGGGAGAAATGACTGAAGGGATGAGATTAAGGCATTGATCCCACAGTGGATATTGTAATCATGCGATAGAAATGAGTATCTATTACAAATGTTCCCGTCACTGCACTGCAACGTGAATATGCTGATTTTATTATTTTAATATGTTTTAACTAATCAAATAATTTATGTATAAGCAAATATTTAATGTTTAGAAAACTATGGTTTTCACTGGAATTCTTTTTAAGTAAACCCCTTTCTGCATTAAAGGAAGCTAAAAAACGACGTTACTATCCACATTATTGAACTGATTAAGGTTTAAATGAATAGTATAGCGTCTTATCTGGATTGATGGAGATTGAGTATTATAGAGATATAGTTGTATCTGAGGGATACATATTGAAGAATACAATAGCATCTTATCTGGATTGATAAAGATTGAGTATTATTGATCGGTCAAGCGAATTAGAGAGCGAGTTGTATCTGTGTGATACATTTTGAGATTACACCTGTATTGTTACAGACTTAAGAGAACTTGTTGGAGTAAGGCATTTGCTACACCTTTACATGAAGGATAAAATTGTAGAAATAAGAGTGTTTAAAGATAGATAACGATAATCTACTAAACTCGAAAACTTTTTTGATTAACCCTTTCATTGTCTAATACATCGTTTTATTTTTTTTTGGTTTCACTGAGTCCAACGTCAAAATGGCTTTTCCGACAGAGCCCCCATTTTAGTGGGGGGGGGGGGGTAACACGACTGATTAGTAATTAAAGGGAGTGTATAGTCGTATATCAAGTGAGTTCCCATTTAAAGAGGGACAACTCGGATACATAACAGTGGTAATAAACGGACTCTATAAACCTTTATCTGAGCAAATATTTGAATATTTGAATGTCATCCATCCTTTTCTATCTTAAAACCGATTATATTCAATTTCGGCTGAGAGAGTAAAGTAAAATAATCAAATTTCAACAAAGAACAATATTATCTTTCTCAATTTTGGTCTGTAGATGAAAGGGTATCGTTGTGAATCAGTCATGTTCTTCTTTAAATGAAATTGCAATGACAGTAAAGCAGTTAATCAATATTTCTAGGTTGGGGCACGAAGTGTCCAGGATGAATAAATATTTACCTAAACTGAATCTATCAATATTTCTAGGTTGGGGCACGAAGTGCCCAGAATGAATAAATATTTACCTAAACTAAATCCATCAATATATCCATAATAATCAGAACACTGCTCCTCACTATGTCACAACATGCAATTATAAACACAAGAGCAATCAAGATTTTAACATATTCCATGTCAACTTAAAGGTTAGCACTTTAGAATTATGGAGAAAAAACAACGATGAATAAATGTTTTGAATTTTGATCAAATTACAACCACTAAATATTTTACCCCCAAAAATCTCACCAACCAATAATAACTTAAATAAAACCATTTTTTGCCAAAAATATAATCTTTTTCGACTATAATATAATTATTTTATGAACAGAATTAAATACTTTTCAATAAAAACAAAACCACACTTTTACCAAATAATAAAACCCAAATATTTACGTATTTTTTACCTTGAATATAAACTGTTTTGCCAAAAATATAATCAATTTTTTAAAGAAAGTAACCCTCACAGCTTTAGTGATTAATGGATTGAATTTTTGGTCAACTTGTTTAATATTCTCTTTCTTGTAAAAAAAGGAAAATAATCGAATAGATATCAAATTTTTAAAGGTTTCTATTAAGAATCAAAAAGCCATATCATAAATTATGGAGAGTTCCTTGAAATTAAGTCGAAAAAAATAATTTTGATAAAAAGGGAATACATTTTTAGTTTAAACAAGTTTATATTTCTAGTTAAAGAAAAGGGTCTTATTTTTAGTCAACAATTTTTATATTCTTAAAAAGATCTAAAAAAATTCTTCTATTTTTGGTCGAAAATTATTTTTTTTGGTTAAAAATGATTAAAATTGTGGTCGAAAATGGATATTTTTTTGATCTGTTATATTTTTTGGGCCGTTATATTTTTGGTCGATAAATTGGAAAAATAGTTTAATACATTTGAAAAGCAATTTCATTTATTTGGACAGTAATTTCATTAATTTCAAAATTAATATGATGATCTCAACCAACTAGCTCTGAATATTCTGACATGGAATTCTAAAATATATTTTTTTGCAGGCCTATTGTAAAAAAACATTGATCAAGAAAGAAAAGTTCTAAATTACCATAAACCAATATATAAGAATAAAAGTTTGGTTCGGTGGATGTGTATTCTACAGCACTGCAAACTGGACAGAATGAGACGGTCAAATATTTGCGATATTTCTAAAGCTGGGATCTCATAGATCGTGTCAAGTAGGAGAAAAACATCCGGTAAAATATTAGAAATTCGAAATATTTTTTTCTTCTCAACAGCTCTTCAATAAGAGAAGTTTGGATTAAAAACATTTATAATTTCAATCTAAACCATGTAATTTACTTTAGTTTAGCGTGACATGTCTTCCTGATTCTAAAACTGAGTTCTGGTTCACAATGGAAGAAACTATCATATTTCTGTGTTCTATAAACGCCATCTTGTAACCTAGATTTAGAATAAATGGGATGAATATGAAATAGTTTAAGTAATATTATATCCTGCACAGTATACAAACTATGAACATATATCATGTATAGATCTGTTAAAACACTTTTGAGACTACTGAAGATCGTCGTGAGACGTTAAACATTCTTAGTACAATTAATTTTTAGTTTAATGTTAGGTTAAAAACTGTAATATATTTATAAATGTTGTACATCAAAGAAACAGCCATGTTTTCTTCAGACGGAAGTGTTCGAAAATTGAACAATTTGAAACATATCGGCGAATTTTATCAGTTTTATAAAATGATTAATTGTAGGCGGCATTTATAGATGTAATCTGTGAACTCACGTTTTATTTCAAGCATACACTCGACTTTTCTATTATATTCCAGAGCCAAAAACTCAAGACAGGGTATCGTTATGAAAACCAGTTTTAAAACCCAGGTGTTATGAATGGGGTTAGGCAGCTTTGTGGATATCAATATTTTTGTTGTGAAATTTTTTTTTATTTGGTTTATTCATATTCTCCATTTTTTTCGAATCAAAATCTACAAAAAGTTAAGACCCCAAAAAGGGAACTCGAGAGTTTCGTTTAACGATACTCTTTTAAATTTGGGGCTCAGAGCAAAGAAGGTATGTCACGAATTATTTTTTTTAATCCTGGAAACCTCTATAAATACAAACATGTATAACAAATATGTTAAAAGCAAAATGAAAAAAGAAAAAAGATTTTACATTACGTTACTTCCTCATACTAAAATTATAAAATTATAAATAAAATAAAAATATTTTCGCGCCAATCTGTTTTTTTATTTGACTTTTTATGAAGATAAATTTGGAGTTCTCCATAATCCTTGACCTGCCAAACGTTTCAAGGACACCGCTGTAAATCTGGCATAGCCTTCTTTCAATGGAAGGTCATTTGAAATTACACATACAGTCACTTTAAGGAAAAAACTTCTAAAACCATTATAGATATTTTAAAAAGAATTCCGCCGCTCGGCTCGTTTACAAGGCAGCGGCCAATCTGTGTTACTCGCGAATGCCGCAATGAATTATAAGACAGAGAGAGAGCCTGTTCTAGCCAAGGTGTTCAGACCCCTAGCCTGTTTTAGCCGCGGCGCTCGGCCCACTAGCCTGTCCTAGCCGCAGCGCCCGGCCCAGAAAGTGTCTTAACCTAAACTAACCCTAAAATATATACTAATCTCTCTCTTCTTTTAATTCATTGCTGCATTCACAAGTAACAGAGTTTGGCCGCTACCCGTTTACAAAGAGTTCGGAAAACATACAGGGTTAGCCACAAAGGATGAGACTGCAATATGGAATTTATTCATTTTTTTTATTTCTGGCCCTCTGGAGTTGCACAGTTGTTTCCATCATTTATACCCTTATTGAAGAACATTAGTCCGAGTTTCAGGTCGTCATTTAAGTCTTCTCCTTTGTGGGTATCCCTGTACTTCATGTTTATCTACAATGAGACCTATAAAACTGTAATATAGGAAGACGACTGTTGGACTCAAGGTATGATTTTAAACATTCCAATGGTCAGACAAATTTCACTCAATATGTTGATTTCCGAGCAGAGCTAATATTGCTTAAATGTCGTCTTTCTACAATTTTTTTGGTTCTACTGTATCTGTATAAAGTTAACCTACTCCATGTTTATATGGTTTATAAAGAGCTGGGAAGGATGAGTAGAGTTAAAGACACACTCCAGGTACTCCCAGTTATCGGAAAAACAAGAAAAATCTAGAAAATTAATTTTAACAAGATTTGAAACATTTGGTGTTAATTTGATCAAGCAGAAAAGCTCAAAAATGTCGTCGTGGCAAAAGTTCTGAAACTTTTTTAAAGTGATAACTTCTGCATGGTGCGAGTAATCAGTTACTTTGATTGAGTAATTAAGTTCGAAAATCTAATTTTGATAACTTGTGTTCTTTGTGCTGTTGTAGAACATTAATAAGTAAAATATGGATTCATTTTGATGAATATTGCAAATTAATAACACTATTATTTTGGTTCTATAGTTTTTGGACCAGTAAGATTTTATATTATCCCAAGCTAAACCTTCTCGATAAAATGAAAAAAAAATTAAGTCTTTGCCACTAACTCTGATTTTCTAATCCCTATATCTTTGTAGTTTACACGACCAGTGTCCGAATTTAATGAATTTGAGCCACGGCTTAAATCTGCCAAAAACCGGTTTCAATTGAGCGCCGGCTTAAATCTTGAAAAATTGAATAGAATTTTAAGTGGAACCAACCATATTTGAGTCGCGGCTTAAATTTAAGCCGCGGCTAAAATTCTTTAAATTCGGCCTCAGGTCGCAAAGATATGGGATCAGAAAATTTGAGTTTGAGGTAAATACTGAATTCCAAAGCAATTCAAAAGCTTTATGGCACTGGGAACCAAACTATAGTTGTTACATACATACATTATATTGAACAAACCAACCTTTATCTCCGCACTGAGCAATATCTGATCCTGTCCCAGGGATCATTAAACTCAGAATAAAGAAAAAAATCACAGTTTTGGAACAAATTTTGTTTAAGACTGAAGATTGATAAATATCATTGATACAGATTTCCATCTTCAAGGAAAATGAAGGGGAGTAAGGATGTGTCTGTAGCTAGCTTTAGCTTTAGCTGTAGCTTTAGCCAGCTTTCTTTAAATATGTAAATCTTTTGTTTTTAATAAATCACTTCAGTAGCACTTATATTTGTAATAGATGATTTGTTGGTTTTTGCAAGATAGACGTATTATTCAAATGAAGGCTTTATCTTTCAGATTTTAAACAATTTAATTTAACTAATATGTGCAGATTCATCTTGCACATTTTTAAAATTCACTTCAAAATTGTCTAATATTTCTAATCATAAATCACAGGTTTAACATTTTTATATTAATCAGCATATTCAATTAGTCACAGAAAAATGGATAAGTTTAGCACCAGGGCGGAGATAGATACACTAGGGCGGAGATGGATACACCAGGCCGGAGATAGATACACCAGGGCGGAGATAGATACGCCAGGGCGGAGATAGATACGCCAGGACGAATTTATTTTGTTTTTGTTTCTCCGGGCAGGACGGAGCACACTGGAGAACAGTATACAGAGAAGGAGAGATAAGGAATATTAATCCATAGATATTTATTTAGAACAATAAGAATAAATTCATGAATTTCTTGTCTAAAAACTTCATGATTTTAACAAATTTATCGTTTAAAGGGACTGTACGCGTAATCTTAAGTAACCCTTCATGCAGAGAGGTCAAGGCCAGATTTACAACGGTAACCTGAAAACCTTAATCGGATAAAAAATGTGAAATAATGTCGTTTTTCAGATTCAAAAGTGTTTAATTCATTATCTCTATTGTTTCTTTTATTCAAGAAATGTGCAAGTTACTTTTGCAGAGAAATCACAACTGAAAATTAACAGTCTAAATAAACAAAAACATTGATATCTAATTCATACTTGATCAAACAAAGGTTTCAAGGGTACCGTTGTAAATCTGTCATTGTCATCTTTGCATGGATTGTCACTTTAAATTACTCTTAGCAGTCAAAACATAAACAAACAAAATGTAAACATAGCAGACGAAACTCTTACAGATTACAGCTTTCTCAGTAGGTATCACTATACTAAATCAAAGAATTATTCATAAAGACGATATCGAATTCGTCACTGAATTCCCATGTTTTTTGGGACACCCTGTATTAGAGTTTGTATGATAATAAATATCCAAAATCTACGTGTTCATATAAGTCGTAATTCAAAATTGTTAAAAAATATATAAGTCTGCATTGTTTTTATATAAACTGAGAAATTGTATTCTCTTGTTCTGACTATTAGAAATTTATAATTTAGAAAGCGGAAGATTTAAAATATTGGTCTTGAAACAAAAAGTTATTGGAATTTAAGGAAAACTTAAATTCTTGTATCTCTAGAGTTTCTGGAATTATTCCCTATAGTTAGTTACACTTCTAATTTTGTTAGAAGGTAAAACATTTTATAGCTTAAAGGGACTGGACGCGGAATTTTATAGTTTAAAGGGACTGGACGCGAAATTTTATAGTTTAGAGGGACTGGATGCGTAATTTTATAGTTTAAAGGGACTGGACGCGAAAAATTATAGTTTAAAGGGACTGGACGCGGAACTTCGTAGTTTAAAGGGACTGGACGCGGAATTTTATAGTTTAAAGGGACTGGACGCGGAATTTTATAGTTTAATGGGACTGCACGCGAAATTTTATAGTTTAGAGGGACTGGATGCGTAATTTTATAGTTTAAAGGGACTGGACGCGGAATTTTATAGTTTAAAAGGACTGGACGCGAAATTTTATAGTTTAGAGGGACTGGATGCGTAATTTTATAGTTTAAAGGGACTGGACGCGGAATTTTATAGTTTAAAGGAACTGGATGCGGAACTTCATAGTTTAAAAGGACTGGACGCGGAATTTTATAGTTTAAAGGGACTGGACGCGGAATTTTATAGTTTAAAGGAACTGGATGCGGAACTTCATAGTTTAAAAGGACTGGACGCGGAATTTTATAGTTTAAAGGGACTGGACGCGGAATTTTATAGTTTAAAGGAACTGGATGCGGAATTTTATAGTTTTAAGGGACTGGACGCGGAATTTTATAGTTTAAAGGGACGGGACACGGAATTTTATAGTTTAAAGGGACTGGACGAGTTATTTCAAGGAACCCTACATGCAAAGATGAAAATGCCCGATTCCCAATAGTACCCTTGAATCCTTTATCTGATTAATATTGTGGAAGATGTTGCAATATTAATAAATTACAAAATTCATAAAATTTCAATACATTATTTAAGAGGCATAAAGGATATTTCGTTTTAATGGGTAACAGATATCAAGGTCGAAGTGCTGTAGCTAGGATCTATATATCCCCTTGGAAAAATAATGTTTGGAGATTTTGTCATTTGGTAATACATCATAACATCGATTCCTTCCTACTTTCTCCAAAGTAAACGTTTCATGATGTAATACATAGGTATGTGTAAATATAGAAAACAGTTCATGACGTCACTTCCTGGAATCTTTGAATTTATTCAGTTTTCTATCATTGATTCATTTCTCAAATACAGATTTTAACGGATCCTATAGTTCCAGCAGATTCTACAGTTCCAGCAGATCCAACAGTTCCTTCAGATCCAACAGTTCCTACAGATCCTACAGTTCCAGCAGATCCTACAGTACCAGCAGATCCAACAGTTCCTTCAGATCCTACAGTTCCAGCAGATCCTACAGTTCCAGCAGATCCAACAGTTCCTTCAGATCCCACAGTTTCTAAAGATCCTACAGTTCCAGCAGATCCTACAGGGCCAGCAGATCCAACAGTTCTTTCAGACTCCACATATCCATCAATTCATGGAAATCCTTCAGATTTAACAGATCCTTTAAATCCTTCAGATTAAACATATCCTTCAGTTCCTTTAGATCTTGAATATTAGGCCTACTTTTAAAGGTTAAAACAGCATTTTAGAGAAATGTTTCTTCGAAGACGCCGACGGTCCTTTCATGGACATTGTAACAGGTACCTGCTAAAAACACGTTTCAGTAAATTAAACGACGTATAGTAGGCGAAAAATGCATCAGCAAACTTTTCCGTGATAAATATATGATACATTTTATAATACTAGTTGAAGTGCCCGGTGTTGCCGGTGAAATTTTTTTTAAATTCCTGTTTTTTGAACAAAAAAGTTCGAGCTCCCTCAAAAAATGTCAGCCCATTCGTTCCAGCTGTTTGGCCGGCTATAGAGAACATGTATACGAATGTCTTGTTTTATTATATAGATTTGAATAATTCGTAAAGTAATTCCCTGAATTATAGTAAGATGTTTTAAAGTGTGATTAAACATTTATATATATGTATATATATATGATCTTGTAGACTTTAACCAAGCTATATTTATGTATAAATATACACATAAACTTCTTCCTGCATCTTTTGAAAACATTTTTAAAAAGCTTGGAAACTTTGAAAGATCTCTATCAACTTTAACTTTTAACTTGACATTCTCAAAATGCGCTCATAACAGTTTTTACCATCAAGCTCTCTTCTTAAGATGTGGAATAACCTGCCTCTTGACTTAAAAAGAAGCAACTCTCTAAGTGTATTTAAAAATAGACTACTAAATTCTCTTTTTGAAAATTACATTACAATGTGTTATAAACCGAATTGCTATTAAAGTAAAACTAATTAGATATGTTTTAATATGCTTTGATATTTGTTGTGTACATGTCAGAAAATTACTTTAAACTCTAGTTATTCTAATAAATGTATAAACTATTTTGCATAAGATAATATCGCACTCTGATCTCTAATAGTTCTCCTTAAATCTATTAAATTGAAATGTGTTGTTATCAATATTAAAATTAGGTGGAAAAAATAATCAAAACAGCCAAGAGCTATTTTCCACCTAATTGCTTTATACTTGTACTGTTAATATAATCATCATATATATATCATATATCATCATCATATTATGGCAAAAAACTTTATCTTATCTTATCTTATCTTATATATATATATATATATATGTCCTAGATATTTATATATTCACTGTTTCAACCAACATTAAACTCAAGAATTGAATTCCCTCCTGGCATACAGTTCTAAAGTGCGAGTCCATATTTTAAAAATGATAAAACAAAATTTAAATTTTCAAAAGCATTTATTTAAATTGTAGCCACGTTTTTTGAATAAAATTCGTATTCTTTTGAAACAAAAAAATAAATTGACTGTTTTCAATGAATCAATAATGGAGCAATTAAGCTTAGTTATTTCTTTCGTTGATAAAAAATATTAATATAAATATTATCTTGATAACAACTAGATGTTTAATCTTTTTAACAGTTCATGCAATGTTTTTAAAATCTGATCTATGTTAAACTGGTTTTATCTCAGATTAATTTCTTAATCTGAATTTCATGCACAATTGGGATATTTAAATTTTTCAGGGATAAAAAGCAGATTTATTATTTTTTAAAGTTTGTCTAGCTTATCAATCTTCCTAATAATATTCTTGTATCAAGAAATATTGGAGGTTTGCTCAACAAGTTCTTTTTCATATTATGTTCGAATTTTTAAATTTTAAAGAAGTATTATTAAAGTATTAACAATGGGGAAATAAGGCGTAAGCGGGCTAAGTATATATATATATTTATTTCAGCTAATAATATAAAGGAATTGAGTCTTTGCCACAAACTCAAATTTTCTTATGCCAATATCTTTGCAACCTGAAAATGTAAACCTTTGATATTTCAAACTTAGATCATTTGATCTAACCAAATCCATAGTTTGAAATATCTCAGGTCTACGACATTTGGTTGTTAAGATATAGCGATTAGAAAATCAGAGTTTGTTGCAAAGACTCCTTTATTACAAAACTGTTTTTTAACATTTTAAAATTTTTTTATTTTAGTTTTAAACAATATGTATAAATTAAATCGATGAATGTCAAAAGAATTAACGTGCACGTCTACACACACCCTGTCACAGTTCTAATTTTCCAATCTTGTTTTCCAATTTTTTTTTCTGTGCTTCAATTTTCCTTCTTGTTCTTGGTAAAATTTTGAAAGAGAAGCTTTTATTATTATTAAAAACTGTAAAAGCAAAGAATCATATGTTATTTTAAATACAAAAATTCCAGAATTTTGTAATAAAGGGACTGCAAACGTAATTTCACTTGAACTTCCATTATATATTGGCATTTTTGATTCACAACGGTAGCCTTAAAAGAAAATTTTGAATAAGTATGAATTATATATCCCAAGTTTATAATCATAGAGTAATAAAACGAAGAGGTGAAGCTCAGCTCAGATGTACACAACCGACCTGTCTATTAATTAATTAATAGACAGGTCGGTTGTGTACATCACGATATGTTTACGTATCTAACGCTGTATAGAGCGATCGTATTTCTAAGGAGTGGTTTAATGTAGATATTTGAATATTAGTATTGATAATTAGATAGATTAGGTCGAAAAAATGTAAAAAATAATTTTTTGTTTGAAACAAATATCAAAGTGTGACACACGTTTCTACACCCATTTTTCAAGGGCTTTTCAAAACTATAGTTTTCAGATCTGTAGCTTTAGTCATAAAAAAGTTATGGACTATTAAGATTTTTTTACATACTCTGGTTTTTTATCGCCCTGCACCCACCCTTATGCATAAAAAAATTACCAAAAAATCCTATAAATTTTTATTTATGAAAAGTCAAAAAACTAGAGGGGGGAGCCAAATGCCCCCCCCCCCCTGTTTAAGGTTAGGAGCTCCAGGTCGTCATCGTTGTTTCATCTTTCATACACTATCATGCTTATGATAAAGAGTTGAAGAGAAGAAACAATAAAAAATGTTTGAAATAAGAATGTTTTCAGTTAAATTCATGCCCTATAAACTTAATATTTTTGACAGAACTTTTAGCTAAGAAATTGAAAACCTACAATTTTGAAAATTCTCAAATGTTTGCAGTCAACATCCTCGAATTCTCTTTAAATAAAGAAAAAAATCTAAAAATTGGTCAATTCCATAAAATCCCCCTTTAGAAATACGATCGCTCTATATACAAGTGTACAGCGTTAGATACGTAAACATATCGTGATGTACACCTGTCTATTAATTAATTAATAGACAGGTGTACATCTGAGCTAAGCTTCACCTCTTCGTTTTATTACTCTATGTTTATAATCTTGAGAAATTTTTTCAGTTGTGATTTTTCACAAAAGTGATTTGTACGCGCGCGCATTTTTATAAATAAAGGTTGAAAGGTTACTTGTAATTACGCTTACAGTCCTTTAAATCGTAATTGCAATTATAAAATGCCCGTCAAAATAGGACTTTTCATTTAAACCTTTATAGAATTATCGATAATAAAAAAATAGATAATTAACCTGTCTGCGGTTTTTACTAAGAAAGCAATTCGAAGATTTGTACGTTTAAAGTATTTCAGATAATTTTTATATAAGTTTTAACATGTTCTGAGAAAAGTACTTAAAGATATTACAATGTTGGATTTCAAAGCTTGTCTGTAATACAGTTTATACTTGAGAACTTAGACTCCTTTGACGGAAATTGAACAGTTAGAATTTAATTTAGAAAAGTATCATATATATATAAAGTTGTAATCTCTGTTTCTCTGTCTGTTTGTTTGTCCCAAGGAGATATTGAATAGAAGGAGGGGGCGATAGGGTTTCCGTACACTTTGCTGTGACGTTTTTGGACTGTTACGCAAAAACTAGTTCTTCTGCAGTTTTCTACAAACTATAAACTCTATTGTATAAATGTAGTGTAAAATGTAAGAATTAAGTTGACGGCAGACTAGATGTAAGGCTCTTCACGTACAGAAGTCAGATCTTTTGTGCTGTGATCTCCGTCCATTGAGTGATCGAGCATTTATCCTTAAATATAAAAGTGCCCATATTGAATATAAAAGTGCCCATATTGAATATAAAAGTGGCCATATTGAATATAAAAGTGCCCATATTGAATATAAAAGTCATATTGAATATAAAAGTGCCCATATTGAATATAAAAGTGCCCATATTGAATATAAAAGTGCCCATATTGAATATAAAAGTGGCCATATTGAATATAAAAGTGCCCATATTGAATATAAAAGTGCCCATATTGAATATAAAAGTGCCCATATTGAATATAAAAGTGCCCATATTGAATATAAAAGTGCCCATATTTAATATAAAAGTGCCCATATTGAATATAAAAGTGCCCATATTAAATATAAAAGTGGCCATGTTGAATATAAAGATCGATTGTTCAAGATTATCAATATTCAAACTATGGTTCTGATCTCTGGCTATATCGGAATAAACCCAGTCAACGTTTGATATGATATTCAAACGCCGTCAAACAAAGCATTTACAATATAAATAATTAATTTTTATATTTTTATATTCACAAGTTCATTGTAGCTCTACAATATAAAGAATAATATATAATAGAAAAGTATGCAAATCAATGTTTAAGGGGTAAAATTAGGTTCTAAAGTGAAGACTACTTTTCAAGTTCTCTTCAGCTACAAGTGGTTCAACTATCACGTACCTTCTTCAACTACTACTCAGTACCAATCAATTCATTACACGTGACATTGAAATGTTGCTTTATAAGTTTGTCTTTGTTGAAATTTTGACAGAAATTTTTTCATTAATTTCAATTTTAAACAAAATAATTTGGTGATCAAACAACAAATAATGATACAAAAATATATGATAATGTAAAATATATCAAAATATTATAAATATTCTTGCCAAATAGATTTGATGTTTTCAAAACTAGAACAATGGAAATTTTTATTTTCTTCTTAAAGGGACTGTTAGCATAGCCCGCTTCACAAAGGTTCCTTAATTATATCTGATCAATAATTCGTTTCTATAGGTGTTTATTTCTGATAATTCCAATATATTTTTTTGCAGAAAAATGCCACAAGTCATTTTTACACATTTGAAAATAACCAGCGTTTAAAATTATAAACATTTACATCTTTTTCCAGAAAAAGCTTTCAGGGGTACCAGTGTGAATCGAGAATTGCCATCTTTGTGAGGGTCACTTGATATTACGCTTACAGATCCTTTTAAATGGCATTAAAGAAAAAAATGTGACTCAAAGTGGATGGGGGGGGGGGGTAGAAGTTATCTCTACTTTAATGTACTATAAATGTTTATATCAAAAGTTTGATATAGAAATGATGTAAAAAGTATAAGGAAATGGAAAATACATGTATTATGTTCCTCTCATATATCATAATGATGATTAGTCCAACTTATTGCTTTAGCGTAAAGATACAAGGTTTTTCCTTCAATAGATTTATCTTAACTTTGTTAGAACTAAAAATAAAGTAGAGGGGCGGGGGGGGGGGGCTCAGGGAAAACACACAGAGAACGTTGAAAATTGTAAGAAAATACGTTTATGTTTATATATCCATTATCATTGGAGACTTTGAGAAGTTTTAAAAAACTAAAAGTTCTTTTAAGTTTTAATTTAAAAAAATATTCGGAATCATTTTTGAATTTTAAAGCCATTATTTCTCTAAACATTTTATAGTTTCTTTAAACTGTCTTCAGGCAAGAGGATTCGGTCAAAGTATTGTTTATTCTTGAAAGTGGTTTAGAGATACACAACAATATATACAGACTATAACAATATGTATAACAATATAGAGATTCAATAAACGGTTCAATCCTGGTATCGAAATGATGGTAAGGCTCAAACCATCGAATTCGACCATTATTTCACGTGATAAGTTTATCTATCTATCTATAGGCTCTAATAAACAATATCCATACATTCATATATTAAGTAATAAACCGCGAAATCTATTAGAGACAATCGTACATTTTGTTCACATTTAACTGCTATGCAATTACAATCTTCTCATATTTTCTATATCATTGGTTAGGTTAGGTTGGGATTATAGGATGGACTAGGGGGCCAAGAGCTGCAGCTATTAAACACTTAATTGCTAAAGTTTTCTAAAATTTACAGAACTCTTAACCCTATCCCCGCTGGGGTACTTGAAAACCAGGATACGCTGGGGGGGGGGTCAACCTTACCACAACCCCTACTAGGGCCCTTACCACAACCCCTACTAGGGCCCTTACCACAACCCCTACGGTCAGAAATTGCCAACTAAAAAAACAATTTAAATAAATAAACGTTTAAAATTTACAGACATAAAAAATTGAACATGATAGAGAGAAGATTAGTTGCTTGAATACATTTGGTTGTTTCGTTGATAAATGTAGTATGCTGTTTGCTATTGGATAGATATGGCATGCTGTTTGGGAGATGTGGCATGCTGTTGGAGAGACGTAGTATGATGTTAGAGAGATGTGGTATGCTGTTGGAGAGATGTGGTATGATGTTGGATATATGTGAAATGTTGTTAGATAGAAATGGTATGCTGTTGGAGAGATGTAGTATGCTGTTTGAGGGCTGTTAAAAGTTGATCGATAGATATGTTATTCTGTTGGAGAGATGTTTTATGCTGTTGGGTAGAAGTAGAATGTTGTTAAATAGATGTGGTATATTGTTTTATATATGTGGTATGATGTTGGAAAGATGTGATATGCTGTTGGATAGATGTGGAATGATGTTGGAGAAATGTGGTATGCTGTTGGACAGATGTGATATGATGTTGGAAAGATTTCATATGTTGTTCGAGAGATGTAGTATGCTGTTGGATAGATTTTGTATGCTGTTAGAGAGATGTGGCATGTTGTTGGAAAGATGTGATATGCTGTTCGATAGCTATGTTATGCTGTTGGAGAGATGTGGTATGCAGTTGGAGAGATGTGGTATGCGTTGGATAGATGTGGTATGATGTTGGATAGATGTGGTATCCTGTTGAATAGATGTGGTATGATGTTGGAAATATGTGGTATGATGTTGGGTAGATGATGTGGTATTTAAAGTAAAAAGATTTTACGTCGATCATATTCCTATTCCACAATAAAAAATATCTAATGACATAACTTTAAACTGTTGACAAATGGTCAAAGTAAACTAATAAAGGAGGAAATAAAGGGAACGGGTTGAAGGAAATGTAAACTCATAAATACCGTTCTAATTATGTGTACTCTCCCTTTAACACTAAATAGAATTAATAATCTAGTTTGCCTGAGTATTGAATGTTGAGTATTGTATGAAAGGTAATGAATACCTATTTGTTAGTATTTGTATTCCATTAAAAGGTAGAGCTGAGTAAAGAGAGAGGAGAGGAGTGTAAATCATGAATCTCATGCAACTCCGGTAGATTTCATCTAAACCATTTATCAACCATAACCTGCAACTCCAGTAGATTTCATCTAAACCATTTATCAACCATAACCTGCAACTCCGGTAGATTTCATCTAAACCATTTATCAACCATGACCTGCAACTGCGGTAGATTTCATTTAAACCATTTATCAACCATAACCTGCAACTCCGGTAGATTTCATCTAAACCATTTATCAACCATGACCTGCAACTGCGGTAGATTTCATTTAAACCATTTATCAACCATAACCTGCAACTCCGGTAGATTTCATCTAAACCATTTATCAACCATAACCTTTAACTCCAGTAGATTTCAACTAAACCATTTATTAACCATAACCTGCAACTCCAGTAGATTTCATCTAAACCATTTATCAACCATAACCTGCAACTCCGGTAGATTTCATCTAAACCATTTATTAACCTGCAACTCCGGTAGATTTCATTTAAACCATTTATCAGTTATAACCTGCAACTCCGGTAGATTTCATCTAAACTATTTATCAACCATAACCTGCAACTCCAGTAGATTTCATCTAAACCATTTATTAATGATAACCTGCAACTCCAGTAGATTTCATCTAAACCATTTATCAACCATGACCTGCAACTCCGGTAGATTTCATCTAAACCATTTATCAACCATGACCTGCAACTCCGGTAGATTTCATCTAAACCATTTATCAACCATAACCTACAACTCCGGTAGATTTCATCTAAACCATTTATCAACCATGACCTGCAACTGCGGTAGATTTCATTTAAACCATTTATCAACCATAACCTGCAACTCCGGTAGATTTCATCTAAACCATTTATCAACCATAACCTGCAACTCCGGTAGATTTCATCTAAACCATTTATCAACCATAACCTGCAACTCCGGTAGATTTCATCTAAACCATTTATCAGTTATAACCTAATATGCTTGGTTTTCTAATGCTTTTAGTTCTGCTAACTTAAATAACTTAAATATAATTTTTTATGTACATGTATATCCCAGTCTCTCTTTTTCCATGTATCCCTGTATTTTGTTGTCCTTTATCTCTGTATCCCTGTATCCCTGAATCCCTGTATCTATGTATCCATGTATCTCTGTATCCCTGTATCCCTGTATCCCAGTATCCCTGTATCCCTGTATCCCTGTATCCCTGTATCCCTGTATCCCTGTATCCCTGTATCCCTGTATCCCTGTATCCCTGTATCCCTGTATCCCTGTATCCCTGTATCCCTGTATCCCTGTATCCCTGTATCCCTGTATCCCTGTATCCCTGTATCCCTGTATCCCTGTATCCTTGTATCCCTGTATCATTGTATCTCTGCCTGTATCCCTGTATCCCTGTATCCCTGTATCCCTGTATCCCTGTATCCCTGTATCCCTGTATCCCTGTATCCCTGTATCCCTGTATCCCTGTATCCGTGTATCCCTTTATCCCTGTATCCCTTTATCCCTGTATCCCTGTATCCCTGTATCCCTGTATCCGTGTATCCCTTTATCCCTGTATCCCTGTATCCCTGTATCCCTGTATACCTGTATCCTTGTATCCCTGTATCTCTGTATATCATGATGGGTAAACGAAGTATGTCTCCTTCTTGAACAGTTTAAATACTATTAAAACTGTTAACGTCCTTTACCTCAAGCTAATCAACATAGAACATACAGTAAATAGATGTACTGACTACTTTCCTCAAATTCTGATTTTCAAATCAAAAATACAATTAAGTTTGAAATATCTAATTTATATCTATAAAGATTTAAAGAAAAGATATGTTTTTTTTAAATCGTCCGATAAGCTGCAGAAAACGATACAGCAGTACACTGAATGAATGCTTAGTACATGTACACTGAATGAAAGAAATGTACCAGTATAGTGAATGAAATTGTAATTAGATGTACACAAAAAGGATGAATGGTATCTGTACACTGAATGAATAATACGAGCAGAGAAAAGTGCTCAATGAATGAATGATTAAATTATATCTGTAGGAAAAGAACTTGTATAAAGGGTGAATAAAAGTATGAATGAATAGTACCTGTACATTGAATGGAGAGTATAGGGCGAATGAATAGTGAATGTTTCATGAATGAAGATATTAAAATTTTTTTTACCTACAGGATGTAAGATGAGAGGAATAATGAATGATAAATAAAGTGATGATACCTCTAATTTGAAGGATGAATGAAATGAGTAATAGTACCTGTGGATAAATGAATGAATAGTGCATGTTTCTTTAAAAAATAAAAGGATGAATGGTATATGCAAGCTGTAAGATGAATGAATAGTAGCAGTAGGATGAATGAATGAATATTACCTGTACCGAATACACGGTCATGAGTTGGCGCTAGCTGCAAGGATGGGAAGGTTGGAGAACTCTGGATTCGGAGAGAAAAAGCGGATAAATGCGGGAATCAGAACTCAGGGATCACTTCATTCCTTGACTCCTCCCAGAGCTGAACTAAACCTAGCTTGAGGTAACTCAAACCAGTTTTGAAAATCTTGGCATCAATTTTTAAAAAATGTAATGGGTTGTTGGACCCAGGTCTAAGATATATGGATAATTGAATTCTGAACTTGTCTTTTAATTCTAAATTGAATTTTTTTTTAAATTTAAGAATTTAAGGAGCAACCATGTTTTAAGATATGTGGAGATACAAACATGTGTAAGTTTATAAAATTAAACATTTTTTTTCTGATTTTGAACAAAGACTAATAAAAGTTGGTAAATATTTACAATAAAGGAAACTTCAGTTTTCTAATCACTACATCTATTCTTCTATGCCTCTGAAATAAGTAAAACTAATTGAACATCAAATACTGATAATATTGGTATCTACTATCCAATTGTAGGTTTCTGGGGTCAGGGAATCTATTTTACAGGATAAGAAAACGGGATGCATGCAATCATATAAGCATACCGATTACCGAATGCATGTTGACTCGAAAAATTGACAATTTACATGACATATAACAAAACCAGAAAATCCATTTTTTATGCATTCGTTAAGCATAATGTGGTGGTGTGGTGCAAACCTCTTAAATTTCAAACTTTGACTATTATATAGTTTAAAAAATCAAATATCATGTTCTGTAGATACAACGATCAAAGAGTTAAAACTTGAGGGAAATCTTAAGTTTCTTTATTGTATTTCGCACAATTCATTCTTTTCTGAGAAAGCATATTCTTGTGGCCAATACAAATTTTAAAAGGTTCCAATTTTGCAAGAAAAAAGTTGATTAAATTTATTTCATTTCATCCGACTCATGGCTGTCTACATAATTCTCCTGCAAACTCACAATCTTGTCATACTCCAATCTTTTCCTGGTCTTTCTTCTCTTTTCAAATTTTTTTCTCCGTCCCGACCTTTCCTTGATAGTACACACAGTTATAAGATCATGTATATCCATTCCAACCTTAATAATCTTTCCTTGATCGTACACACAGTTATAAGATCATGTATATCCATTCTCACCTTTATTATGCTTCCTTGATCGTACACACAGTTAAAAGATCATGTATATCCATTCCAACCTTTATTATCCTTCCTTGATAGTACACACAGTTATAAGATCATGTATATCCATTCCAACCTTTATTATCTTTCATTTTTAGTATACACAGTTATAAGATCATGTACATCCATTCCAACCTACATTATCTTTCCTTGATCGTACACACAGTTTTGAGACAATTTCTATCCTTCAAAACATTTCTTGGGTTTTATACAAGTAATTTATATACGTTCTAACCTTTCTTGATATCACCTGGATAGTACATGACAGTTTCAAAATAACGTCTATTCTTTCCAACCTTTCTTGGGTTTTATTGGATAGTATACAGTTAATTTCTGTCCTTCCCAACCTTTTTTGTTTTTTCCTGGATAGTATACAGTTAATTTCTATCCTTCCCAACCTTTCTTGGGTTTTATTGGATAGTATACAGTTAATTTCTATCCTTCCCAACCTTTTTTGATTTTTCCTGGATAGTATACAGTTAATTTCTATCCTTCCCAACCTTTCTTGATTTTTCCTGGATAATATACAGTTAATTTCTATCCTTCCCAGCCTTTCTTGATTTTTCCTGGATTGTATACAGTTAATTTATATCCTTCCCAGCCTTTCTTCATTTTTCCTGGATAGTATACAGTTAATTTCTATCCTTCCTAATCTTTCTTGATTTTTCCTGGATAGTATACAGTTAATTTCTATCCTTCCTAATCTTTCTTGATTTTTCCTGGATAGTATACACTTTTTCAAGATAACGCCTATGTGTCCGAACCTTTCCTGATTTTTCCTGGAAACTAAACACAGATTTGCACGAGGTTTCGTCAATTTTGTTTCAAAGTTGATTTTATTTTTCAGAGTTTTATTAATACCATCATTCTTTGAGGACAGATGAGGATATAAAAATACATCAAAATTAATTTCCAAACACAACTTTTTCTATCTGCGAGAGTGAAAACCTTTTTTGCCAATAAGGACAATTTACAATAAAAGTTGAAGTTGGTGCTAATCGATTTTGTTTTTACAGAATTAGTTTTCATTTAAACAGTTAAGGAAAATATAAAATATGAAAATTTGTTCACATCCTATGTCACGTGATAAAGTGTCCGGGCGTGAAATAATGTCCAGCCACTGTGATTAGGTCTTAAATACCAAATTAAAAATATCTAAATATAATAAATAGATTCGTTTACATTTTAAACGACAATTTTCACATAATTTTTGAATGTACAAGGGATAGAAATTAATTTATTCATGTTTTAAAAATTCTTTGAAAAGAAGACGACACTCGAAACGAAATATCGTTTTTTTACAAATTTTCTGGTATTGCTACATTTAAATATATGTTTACGTTCAACAGATTTTATCAATGCATCTATAATTTATATTGTGGGGAAAGTGTCCAAATCATCAAGAAGTACCCCTCTACCCGGGCATTATTCCACCCCCGGACACTTGTTAACATCAAGATGTGCCCCTCTACCCGGGCATTATTCCACCCCCGGACACTTGTAAACATCAAGATGTGCCCCTCTACCCGGGCATTATTCCACCCCCGGACACTTGTTAACATCAAGATGTGCCCCTCTACCCGGGCATTATTCCACCCCCGGACACTTGTTAACATCAAGAAGTGCCCCTACACCCGGGCATTATTCCACCCCCGGACACTTGTTAACATCAAGAAGTACCCCTATACCCGGGCATTATTCCACCCCCGGACACTTGTTAACATCAAGAAGTGCCCCTACACCCGGGCATTATTCCACCCCCGGACACTTTTTAACACCTCACCGGGGTTAGGCAATAAAATAAAGTTTATTATTCCCTAGGCTCAAGCAAGGATAGATAAATATATATAAACATATACGTTTAATATCTCCTGGAGACTAGTTTACTAGTTTAACCTACAGGTGGCAAACCATTTATTTTTATTCTTCTATTCAAAACTGTGACCTAAAAAACTCGGGATTTATGGAATTTTTTAAAAATAGAATTTTTTATTTATTTTACTTAAATTTTAACTAATTTATTTAGATCTTAAATTACGAATAACATTAGACACTAGCTTGGGAAGCCAGCGCTGCCAAGGTTACTAAAAGTTACTCACGCTGTTGCTTCGAAATATTCGCTTTTAGACGTCAATTGCTCTGAGATCTTTTACCAAAACACAAGGTAAAGAAGATCAATGCTGAGATCTTTAAATCACACAATTTTACCAAAACACAAGGTAAAGAAGATCAATGCTGAGATCTTTAAAGCACACAGTGCTGAACAACATGTAATTTATACCTAGCTAGCTAAAGAAATTTACATATTATTAATATGTTTTTGTTTAGTGCGAACTGTATATTGTGTTCTGTGTGTGATGCTATTACAACTCCTTTGCCCTCTCCTACTTGTCATTGGTAATTATTCTT